CAAGGTTGTCGTTACATTATTTGACATTTAAAATAATGTTGTCATACATAATATAAAATGACCGGATGACATTTCTGAACGTACGTGACACATGTCAGTACTTTAAATTGTAAAAACTTTGATTTATTTATAAGTTTATTTTAAAATTATCCAACTTTGATAAGAATCTAACAGTTATGGCTCTTTTTTTATATATAAATATTGATAATATGAACTAAAGCAAATAAAGTAGAATGTATGCTATGTGGATTATGTTTAATAATGAACGAATTCTTCTTTTGTGGCATTATTGTAAATATTTTCTTGTAAGATATTCGTTTCTACAATCCGCAGATTATATAAACGTACGCATACACACACACACACACACATTCCAACACATACATAAACATTTACATACACGTAAGTATAAAAAAAAGTCAGTGGTGGCCTAGTGGTTAAAAGTCCCGCCTCTCATGCATGAGTACCAATGTGGTTTTTCCGAGTCATATGTACTTTCTAAGATTATTTAGACATCACTGATAATGCATTCCCAAAAAGCGTTGATGTCAGGCAGGCGGGTGGTCGCAAAAACAATTATCCAAAACTATTCACAACATTAAAGGCAGACCCTGGTTTTAGCTGGGAAATTGCCAGGTAGAAGAGGATAACGTATTAAAAAGTAAAAGCCATGTTTATTATAGAACTTATTATTTATTATAACATACCGATTGCGTGAAATAAAAAGGTTAAATGTATATCATGATTTGTTTCGTAATAAAAACTGTATCAGCCAAGGTAACAGTTCTCGTACAAGGCTAAGTTTAAGGCTAAATATTTATATTATCAAGTAAAAGTTATTTAACTAAAATATATCTAGATTGTTTTAACAGCAACCAAGGTTAAGTCAAATATTAATTTGTAATTAGTTTTAATGAGTACTAAAGTTTGTTTACAAAAATTATCTTGTCTAGATGGACGTGTTATAATTATTATTATAATCAAAATTACTTTTATATTCGGTAAAAAATTCATGATGATTACAAAAAGCTTTATTTATATATTTTTTAGTATTTCAAAGGTTTATTTAACGTTTTTTTAGAAGAAAATTTATCCAAAAACATCCAAGATATACTACGTTCCACATTTATTATTAACTAGATAGTATATCCTTGTAATGTGAAATATATTTACGTTAATTTTGAAATAAAATAAATCGTATATATTCACAGAATATAACAACATGACATTTGTAAACGATAAGAACATAATTGAATAGTGATTTGATAAAAACTCAATATATTAATATCGACTTTATAATCAACTAGATTTCCACCCGAAGCTTCACCCGCGTGGAGTTCGGTTATATCGCGTTTCCAAGAGAACCTTTCAAAAGTCTGGGATAAAAACTATCCCATGTTCTTTCTCAAGGTCAACTCTATATGTACCAAATTCCATTAAAATCATTTCAATGGTTTAGGCGTGAAGGCGTAACAGACAGACAGAGTTACTTTCGCATTTATAATATTAGTAGGGATATTACTGCCATATTTATTACTTTTTTGCTTCTAGATCTAGTTTTTTTATATAAATTATAATCATTAAAAGATGAACGCGAGTTAGTTCTACACTTGACTGTAGTTTCAATTACACAATACTGCGGCTATGTAAAGAACTCTTTTAAATGAAACTGTTGTTGGATATAGCGTGTTTTTTTTTCATTTAAATGAAACTATTATTCTTCGGATATACGCGTGCATTATTTTTGTAAAAAACTACATACTCCCGACGTTTCGGCTACTGTTCAGCAAATAGAATATCGATTATATTTATGACATTTTTATGTGTATTGATCTATAAGAAATTTAACTATAATTTAAATTTATCAATTAAAAAGTTTACGAGAAATAAAATTACATTAATTCAGTACGTGACATATTAATAAAATAAATTAAGTAAAGAAACAAAACACGATTATTATGTTGTACATACTAGCTGACCCGGCAAACTTCGTTATCCATATAAAAAAATAGGGGTTGGTGGTAAAAGAGTAAAAATTATTTAATTACATACATTATAAATAAACAAAAACAAAAATTTTCGTCTGAAAAATAAATTAAGCGTGAACAACCCTCATGATTTACGGGTATGAAAAATAGATGTCGGGCGATTCTCAGACCTACTCAATAGTCAATAGGCTCACAAAATTTCACCAAAATCGCTTCAGCCGTTTCGAGGGAGTTCTTCATATGTTTAACACCGCGACACGAGAATTTTATATATAATATAGATATAGATAAAGTGTAAATACACAGATTATGTCAAATGTCTGTCATAGCTATTATACCGGTATTGATAATGCCGACCTCGTGATATCAATATTTAATTGTACACTATATATATATTACAATATAATAGTACGATATAAGCAATTATAGAAAAGAGGTTTGTAATCTACCTTTTTCGTGTTACGAAGTCTAAAAAAAACACATTGAAAACAATAATTTTATGAATTTATTTTGTATTGATAAAAAATTAACAATTTACACTCAAAAATTATATATTTTTGTTTGTACGAAGTTTTTCATTGTATTTTTAATTGATTATTACACATAAATACTATTGATTAAAATTACATAATATTGTTAGTTAATCCAACTCCAATAATACTTTCAAAATTCGGGAAATTAATAAATTACTGAAATAAAAAGAAATTGGTATCTTATACCAGTCATATAGTTTCAAATTAACAGGCTAATATACTGAAATAAAATTAAAAAGGAAAACCAACACTTAGATATGTTACTCAGAACCACAATTAAATTCCTTAATAAAATCACAAGGGTCAACAACAAAAGAATTCTAGCTAACTATCTAGAAATACATTTACAGATATTGGCTCGTTGGACAAAACTAATTATGTTTTAATTATCGTAGACACAAGACGACGATCCATCAAGACAATTTATTGTGGACTTATTGTTCTGACAGATAGATTCGGGGCAATACTTATAAAATACTAGAAAATATTAATCCCATTTTCGAAGAATGACGCAATATTTTTTGATAAATAGTTAAGTCTACGTAATGAAACTAAATAACCTAGTCTGAAAATTGAGATATGTTAATGCCTTATGGAAATGTTATTGAATATTTCTTGGAAAATGACAGAATGGCATAAATTAAAAAATATATTTTATGCAATATCAGACATGTAAAGCTGAATATCGTTGCACGTATATATATAAACTTTTTTACGTATAACTCATGCCCAGATCAAAATTTTGCTATTTTGATAACATTTTTAGTTCCTATATAATCAAGGGGAGGCAAATACAGATAAACTTATAGTATGTACACTGTATGTAGTATGAAACTTCTTGAATACAATGGAAAATTTGTTCCAACAAAACTATGAGAATTGTTTTAAAAGGACATTATACTAATTTTAATCCCGACATCGTTCGCAATATCTTCGTAATTAGGTTTAGAGTGAATAATGAACACTTAATATTTGAGTTAACTGTCCGTCAGCGCCATCTATCGTTTGCGTCATATAACTTACTAGTTACTTCAAGTAAGACGTATTTCCTTGCAAACTGCCTGTATAAAGAGATAAATTATAACTTATGTTATTGTGTTGTCCAAACGACGTTGTTGGAAGTTTTTTTTTCAAAATAGGTTGAATATTTATTAGGTTAAAGAAAAACAAACATGCATACACTTCCACAAACTTTCGCATTCATATTTTTCATAGTATTACATTAGGTACTACATACAACCTATATCTATGACAGCTTCATTTTGAGATAAAATCTTCCTACATTATTTCTATTACACAGAGTCAACACCACATTTTATATATTCATGTTTTCATCTTCGTTATTTGTCATTTGATATTCTTTTAAATCCTACCTCCTGTTGTAAAGAGGATCAATGAATGATTGATAAAACTAACCATTCATAACGTAATAGGAAACAATTATTTTACTTCCATACAAAACAATCGCTACTAATATTGTAAATGCGAAAGTAACTCTGCCTGTCTGTCTGTCTGTTACGCTTTCACGCCTAAACCACTGAACTGATTTTAATGAAATTAGATACAGACATAATTTGACCTTGAAAAGGACCATAGGATAGTTTTTATCCCAGACTTTTGAAAAGTTCTGTTGGAGACGCGATATAACCGAACTCCAAGCGGGCGAAACTGCGGGCGGAAAGCTAGTGTCCATTAAAAATGATAAATTACATTTTAATTCAACATTGGCTGTATACATTTTTTCGTTTATTTGAAACGTCAAAGAGTTTACTGATATTAACTGTAAAGTAACAGAAAATATTTTGTCTTAACAAAAGTAGAATTTTTAAAACACTTTTGCTTTAATTTTAAACCAATTACAATGAACAGAGGATTTTCGTCGCGATTTTATTATTTTTTCTAAAAAGTTTTACAGTTTTAGAAAAAAAATAACAGCTAATTGAAAAAAGTTAAGGAATCATTGGCAGTATATCACAAATAGCAAGACTAACTAACAGACTCTCATTTGACTTGTCTTATCTGTCTGCCCTCTTATAAGTTACACGAAAATAAAGGGTACGTGGAGTAAAATGTAGAGGAGTATAGGCGAAAACAATCAGAAATACCTTATTATTATGTAACAATAAAATTTCTAAATCTACTTAAATAAACGGTGGCGAAATAATATGTACAGTAGCTAAACTTGCAAGAAATATTATTTGATTCGGTCATTCAAAAATTGTCAAAACAAATTTAGGGAGATTTATAAAACTACACATATATGTATATCTATAATAAAAGACTTCACTGTCCGTTTGACTAAAAATGACTACCACATAATGAAATTAATAAATTGATTAATTATTATTAGCGTCTTTCAAACCCGTAGTTAGACTATTAAATGTAAAATACAATTTTAAAACATAACTGTTGCTTGATTGCCATTTGGCACTTGTTCTGAATTCTGTTTGTATGTTTTATTTTATTTTTCTTGTTTCAGGTAACGGCTACATAGAAGGCACGGAGCTGGATGGTTTTTTAAAGGAATTCGTCTCCAGCGCCAATTTCACTGACATCAGTCCAGATGTAAGTATTCATCATTAAATAATTGAAACAGAATATTCAATAACATCAAAACTTTCAAACATTTAAGTATTTTCAAGTTATATATATTGCGTTAGATAGGGGTCCCTTAAACCTACACCTGGGTCACAAGTCCCAGTCACTGTTGAAGCTCCTCTCACTACAACGATGGACCCGACACACGCATATAAATACATTGAATGATGAGAGATTTCGTCTTTATAAATATTATATTTATTTCTGTATGTTAGTTTATGTCAAATGTCAATGTCCATGTCAAAATGTGATGTATTCACCAAAAATCTTTGAAATAAACAATAATAATTTTCTTTACGTTTCATTGAAAATTATGAATTATATTTATATATAGTTTTTATTATTAATTAATATACTCAAGGTTTTGGATTGGAAAAATTATAAATAATTGTATACATAGAGAATAAAATACACAAAAAGTCGTAAATAAGAACTATTTATTACATATTACCAAATGTTAAAATAATTAGTTAAAAGAGACAACAATGGCGGTACATTTTTCGTTTCTAAAATATATCAGACGAGGGATTAAATTTGAAACAGCTAACGAACTTTACAGCTTAACCTTTTAATCGGCTAAGCTGCTTTATCCGGCTTAAAGCATACATCAACTACGGTTCTAATTTATAAAAATTTAAGAGGAAAAAATATTACTTGTTTTTAAAATTTATGGGTCATATCTTAGATTTAGGTTTATATGAAGAGATAATATATATATGTCTTCTTCTTCTACCTGGCAATTTCCCAGCTTTGGCCAGGGTCTGCCTTACTTGTTGTGAATAGTTTTGGCTATTTGTTTTTAAGACCGGCCGCCTGCCTGACATCAACCCTCTTTTGGAATCAGCATTAATCAGTGATGTCTAAATACTCTTAGAAAGTACATATGAGTCGGAAAAATCACATTGGTACTTGCTCGGGCCAGGATCCAACCCACGCCCTCGTGCATGAGAGGCGGGCCTTTTAACCACTAGGCCACCACTGACTATAATATATGTCTTACTAAATATTTTACTTCTCGAAAGTGAAGTCAAACAAGAGTTTTGGATTTTCAAATTGTTTGCATGTGTCATTGTAGATACTCGTTGATAAAACTGGCTATTTAAAAATTGTCCTTAGATTAACATGTTTAAAAAAATTAAATGTTTGACTTCCAAGGATCTGTTATAAGGGAGCCAAAATTTGGGGATTTATTTAACGCCAATTGAAAAAAATATATAAAAACTACTTCATTTCTTTAATAGTAATTAAGGACGATAACAGATTATAATATTAAAAAGGATTTAATAAAAATGACTCTTAATAATGAAGTCACGATAAGTCACAAACATAATTTAATAACAAAACAATATACCTTTATTTAAATGACGTTTAAACATTTTTGTTTAAATAATAATTTTTCCTTATTAAGTATATATTTTATATTTTCTTGCTCTTCCTCACCTCGTATGAATCAAATGTAATAAAAAATTACGAAATATACAACTGGTTTTTGCACGCGACTTCGTCTGCGTACTCTCAGAGTAAGAAATGTATAGCTGACCGGGAAAATTCTGTTCCTACTTAAAGACAGTAGATAAGATAAGACAGTACATTTTTAATTTAATCAACTTATTTTCGTTTGTCTTTCTCAATCGGATTAAAATATCCTATGTCCTTTCCCTTGTTCTAAGCTATCTCTCCACCAATTTTCATCTAAACCCGTACAGCCATTCTTGAGTTATAAATAGTGTAACTAACACGACTTTCTTTTATATATAAAGATTACCAAGCCTTTAAAAATTAACCTCCTATCAGATCGATAAATCAACGATAACGCAGGCTTTCTAAATCAAGTTGATTGACCTTCAAAATATTAATCGACTTCAAAAAAGATTATATGAGTTTAAATAAATTACCAATCCGTCTTGGGCAAGCGTGGTGATTAATGCTCAAACCTTCTCCATGTGAGAAGAGGCCGTTGCTCAGCAGTGGGCTCTGATAGGCTGATGACGAGAAAAATTGAAAATCGATTGAAAATTAATATATAACACGATTAAACATGTCTTGTGTATCCCAAATAGCGGGAATGTTTCAATACTTACTTAGTTTTTATTATTCTAACAAAATTAAAGGGTGTTAATAATAAAATTCATTATATTCAAATCATTATATATACTTCAATAATATTATATAATAAACAATAAGTAAATTCCAATGCCGATATATATAAAACAGATTTTAATGCAAGTCAACACATAAGCCATTCATCCTTGCTTTTCCAGTCGGGCAATCATTAACTACGAAAACGGCAGATATATGGAATGGTGTAACGTACATATTATCTTCTGTACTGGATTGTATCCAAGTAGATCCATTCGCATCTACACACGATAATACCACTATGAGCAAAACCACTGATAATTCCATTGTTCAACGTTTCAGTCACCCATAACTTTATATGGATTGTAGATTATATTTATACAATTGAGGATGTTGTGTATTATTTATCTATTATAACATTTCCATATATTTATGTTAGATTTTATTATTACTTCTATATAGATATAATTCTATGCTAAGGCTTTATTCACACTGGTAGTATAGAATATTCTGCTATTATCATCGTTTTTTTTTTATGTAACAAATAAAAATATAATTTTTAATACAGTTCAAAGAAAACACGTAGAAGTTTGTCTAATAGGTTGAATTTTTTTAAGACTTTATTTATATATAAATAAGTTCTGTTTTAAATTATTAATGAATTTACAAAAAGAATACGAAAGGACTAATATAAATATTAAAAATAACAAGGAAATCGCTTTAAAATCATGTTCATTATACCTGTCAAATGACTCTTAAATTTGACACAAAGAATGTCATTGAAACTTATTGGAGGGACAGAAATAAAAATATGTTTTATTATGATTATTTTAATATGTTTTAAATATATCACATAATATAGTATATCATACATATATTGATGATAAATTAAAATATTCCATACTTTGTTAATTGCTAATTAGATAATGTTGCCAATTATATTAAATAACAATATTTTATATTATTGCACACATACATTGAAGTCACAATGATATATATAAAAGAAAACAATCAATGATTAAAATTACATATACAATTCTAATGAATTTGAAAAGTTAAATGTATTAAATTTACATATAAAACATAGAAAATTATAAACAATATATGTATATATTATAGCTCTATCGCTATAGAAAAGGTCAAAAGACCCAGCCAGTATCACAACACTATTAAAGGTCATTTTTAACCAAGTTAATCAGTATTATTACGTCACTTTACTTACTAATACAATCTTCCGAACTTTTTTATACATTATACTCACAGTAACACACATTTTTATAACACATAATATATTAAATAATATATATATCTGTCAGTCTTTATCAACACAAATGCCATTTATTTTGACCTTGCCAGTCGGGCACGCGTCGCCAGTAAAGGAAGCGAGAGGCACAACTTCGTACGTCGAATTCGTCACCATTACTTCGGTTTTATTAATTTTTAAACCATCCAGATTCACTTCATCCATATTCTGTGTGAAATTTAAATCATTTCTTTCCTCGTGAAGCAACGCGTAAGTTCTTGCGACGAGTATAAATACAAGTATGTGTGCCCGCATTGCAAGACTTTGTGACATAATCTGTCAAGATTTCCATTATTTTACTCCAAGTTAGTCATTACAGACGGTTTAACAGTAAATTATATAGTATTAACGTAATGAAAAAACGTTAAACGCTTCGTATGTTGTGTAAAATAACTCGTTATAAGCACAAAGATTAATGTTAAACAATTTGTTATCTGTTAATTTTGCAATTAAATTTTAATTAAATTACAATGTTTGCCTTCTATGTTTCTAGAACAATAATAAATAACAAGAACTCTAAAATTGTACATATTTTACGAGTTAATTTAACTCGTGGTTAGTATAACAATCAGTTATAATTGAGGAAGCAACAAAGTTAAAATAAAGATCATACGAGAAGATTACTTTTAAAGACCTCGGAATAACAAAAAAATAGCAATTTTAAAACGTTATTATATACATTAGGAACAGCAGACACAACAAAATGATTCATCAAAAAATATAATAAAAATAAATCGGAATAATACTAAGCATCTTCTCCTACCTGGCAATTTCCCAGCTATAGCCAGGGTCTGCTTTACACCCTGTGAATAGTTTTGGCTAATTGTTTTTACGACCGGCCGCCTGACTGACATCAACCCTTTTCGGAAATGCATATCAGTAATGTCTAAATACTCTTAGAAAGTACATATGACTCGGAAAAATCACATTGGTACTTGCCCGGGTCAGGATCGAACCCGCGCCCTCATGCGTGAGATGCCTTTTAACCACTAGGCCACCACTGAAATAATACTAAGCATACATATGTTTATATATTCCATATAAATTATTAAGCTTAACTAATTGTCAATGTAATGTTTTCTTAGTCCGCATACGCACACACTCCTAGCACCTTAACCTTCCCTGTTGGACATCCATTTCCAACGAACGAAGAGAATGGATCATCTTCATAATTGGTGCTTGAATATTCTGGCATTGTTGTGTTCACTTCCAGCACTAAATCAGCTACATTATAACTTCTTCCATCCACAATGGTTTCTTTCTCCAGCGGCAACGCAGCACTGGTTGCGATCAAGAAAAAAAGTATGTAAACCTCCATGGTATCAGGCTGAATGATAAAACCTTTGCCGATTTATAAATTTAAAAATGTTTGCCGGCATTTAGTTTTTCCATTACGTGTTCAAATATTTAAAGTATTTACATATTTGCTTTCTCAAAAACCGGATAAGATTGCTTGAAGTACGGCAATGAACTGAAGATCATATGATGTGTTCATTATTTTAAAATAAACTCAATATTTTATCAGTTCGGATATTCCGAGATGTTGTTTATAAATAGAGTTTTAAGAATTTTTTTGTTTATAATAAAAAAACAACTAAGATATCTCCAATTGATAAGAACGTCATAATTAAGTTCATATATTAAAACAATATTTTCAATATTATATGTAATTTAAAACTTCACAGTAAAAAGTAGATAAAAAATACATCCTTATTAATGATATTGGAATAACACAGATTATAAATATTTCACACTAGGCTGAATAGATAGATAATATTGTGATAAAAAAATAACAAAGAGTTTCATAAATTTAATTAACCTCTTCGTTGAAACAGTCATCAAAAACTAATTATGGAGACAGCTAATATTTATTCCGGTATTATTAAAAACGTTTGCATAATTTATATATGTATTATGTATTTTTATTTATTAATCTTTAAGGAAAATACATGTATTTAATAAATAAAATTATCATATTTAATTATCACAAAAAATATAAACATTTCTACGAAACATATATAATTGTTATCTACAGGAAAGTGGAAAGAAATCTCTCTATTTTATTAATAATTAATGAGATTATTGTTATATTTTTGTATAATAATTATAAATTATAATAATGTTATATTAAAAATATATATATTTTAAAATCAAATATATTAACTACCATCATTAATTATATGTATTCATATAAATAATTAATTAAAATTGTCTTTAAATTTCGTTAACGGACGATACTAAAGAAAATACGAAGAATAATTCCTAAAAGCAGTTCCCTTCATTTTAGACTGCACTCTTATTAAAATAAGTACATTGTAATGAAAAAGTAATATATATATATATATATATATATATATATATATATATCTCTGGATCGAAGTCAGCAGTGTGTGAATATGCATTGGACAAACCATTCCATTACATTAGAGTTGATAAACCACATATCCTCGCTCGTGAAGACAGATATATACCAAGGTTAATCCGCGAGGCTATTGAAATTAAAAAACACCCCAATTTCAATAGAGAAGATGGCTGGAACCTATCAAACACCTGGGATCCTCTTCTTAAAAATATAAAATCCCATGTCCGTGACCACACCGCAGGACCTCGAGACACCGTGAGCGCATTTTGCCGGCACCCAGAGCGGTACCCAGGAAAATTAAGAAATCGATGGCGGTAGGAGATAAAATGACCAGACCAACTGACAGACACTCACATCTCGTCTGCCCGTGATCACGGTTACTGAAAAATAGCCGAAACGTTGGGAGAATGTAGTTTTTATCAAAAATAAAACGCGAAGTAAAATCCGAAAAATATTAGTTTCATTTGAATTATATTTAAATTTATCATCTTCTTTGTAATTCTATTCTATTCTACTTTCATGTATATAAGTTTTTCTTTCTGAAACCCATTTTGAAGATCAGTCAAAATCGCCAAACTAAGGTTGATGCAAGCGCAATTCAGAATAAAAGGGGTCATATGATGAGTTTGATGAGTTTTGATAAGTTGAATCAGTTTCCCTCCCCCTAAAAAAAGGACCAATAATTTTAATTGCTTGGGAAAAAATGCATTTAAACTTAAAAATGTTGTTTACAAATGGTTCTGTTGAATATTCAATAACTTTATATTTGTATTTGTATAATACATAATGTATGATGGAATCCTAAATACATATTTGCTGTCTGAAGTATTTCTTAAACATTCTAGTTTTTAGGGTTCCGTAAATCATTAGAAAAACGATATGCTTTACGATGTATACATATATATACCAGTTTGCCCACCAGTTCAATTTCTTTTTAAATATAAATAATATAATTTTAATATATATATTACTATTGAAAAAGACACATCTCAGTCAATCAATACTACAGAAGAGAATATTCATGCTTTATTACATCAGTACATTTTAAAATTCACGTGGAAATAAAGATAATATGAATTTTTCTTTTCTTCCTCAAATCCGCGCAAAAACGCTAACTAACCGCGACTATGTAAGCGGGAAAATAGTTTTTTATTATTGTAAACTTAATTGCATTCCTGAGTATACTTACCACAAGTTTATACGCACTGCACAAGAAATGTTTCCAGTCAATCATTATTAGTTTCGAAATTATATTAATTATTACGTAATAATTGAGATACGGGAAACGCTTGGTATGTAGTGTAGTAATACGAACTAGTAGTAAGCTAATATATATGTTTAAATGAAACTAATATTTTCGGATGTACTACGCGATTTTTATTTTTTACATTATAAACTACAAACCCCTGACGTTTCGGTTACTTTACAGCAACCGAAAATAAATAAATAAAGGTACCGGTCTATCGTAAATTTAAACGTTTAAATAAAACTAATATTTTCATATTAACTAATATTTTTTTATTATTTTTAACTACATTCACAGACGAGACTTTTATTTAAATGAATACTCGCGAATGTCGTAGATCTCATACTTCCTCGTTATAAAATTATCGTTTTCCATTATTATCGCTACCATCATGATCGAAATCTTATTGAGATTGGACTTATCACATAACTTTATCAAATTAATTATTTAATTTTTACTTTTAACAGATAAATCTAATAGTATATTTTAATAATAAATTCATTCGAATACAATCATTTAACAATTGGTGAAATACAATATTAAACATCTTATATTTTTTTCTCATAATCTTTTATGTATCATTATTTTTTAATAAATATTTTTAATCTATAAAAACTATTAAATATTAAGACCGAAAAACTGTGATAAATTTCTTAAGATCCAAAATCCGAATTAAAAGATTCGTCATAAGCCACATCACTATTGCAATCATTTTTAAATTACCGTAAAAATATAAGTATGTATATATATATAAATGATTTATAATTAAATAATGTTTGTGCAAACACTATCTATGTCAATAGTAATTAAATATATTGTTAATATACATTAAGTATACTATGTAAATACTTAGTTCAAAACAATATCATTTCAATTAATAAAAAGCATTTATTATTTCATTTTTATTTCTCTTAATATATGTTCATACAAAATACTAAGCTGTTTAATATTTAAATATTTTTGAAATCTTTCTATAAACTTATTAAAGGAATATATTATATAATCTTCTAGTTTTTACCCGCGACTTCGTCTGCGTTAGTTTCGCAATTTTAAATCTATAGCTGTCCAGACGAAATCTATTCCTCCTTAAAGACAGTAGATAAGAAGATTTTGGATTGAATCAACATAGTTTTTTCTTTTTCAATAGGATCCAAAGTATCCTATGTCCTTTTCCTTCTTCTTCTACCTGGAAATTTTCCCAGATTTTGCCAGGGTCTGCCTTACATGTTGTGAATAGTTTTGGCTAATTGTTTTTACTACTGGCCGCCTGCCTGACATCAACCCTCTTTGGGAATCCCATGACCTTTTCCTTCTTCTAAGATATCTCTCCACCAATTTTCAGCCAAACTCGTACAGCAGTTCTTGAGTTATAAATAGTGTAACTAACACGACTTTCTTTTATATATATATATATATATATATATATATATATATATATATATATATATATATATATATATATAATGAGTCTATAGAGGTGAAACTAACGATTAAATTACGTTAATCTAATGAAAAAAATTATATTTAAATAAAAAAAATTAAAATGAAAAGTTCATTGAACCTATATCCTTAAAATGCATTACAAATGCTGTACCAACTAAGCTCTCATATCTCATTAATCATTATTATCATTCTATAATTGATTATTTAAATTTTATTTAAAATATTTCTTTAATATTAACAACATAATTACATGAATTGACTATTAAATCTTATTATATATAACTCTAGTTATAACTGTAGTTTTTAACAAATATTTAATTTCCCGCTTAAAAAATTACATTTTTTTTTATTTACCTAATATATTGTTGAGAGGAAACATTTGTTTGCGCGGACATAATCAAATTCAAACAGCCAAAACAAATTTATTTTATCTCTTACAAGCGACCTTTTTAGAAAATCATATTTTTAAATAAATAAATTTAATTTGTTGCCAGTCGAAAATAATTTAAATATAGGTAAAGAAAAATTGATAAGTTTTATGTATTTAATAAATGTTTTAACTAAAACACTAATATGTATGTATGTGATATACATAAATCTTTTAATTTTTTTAACAATAAAATTAAGCATATGTAATCTTTTGGTCATACATATATATGTCGCCTCTATATCTGTTATGGAAAATTATATAAATATTAATAAGAATTAAATTTCTTATAAGTAAACCGTTCATATTATTGTCAAACAAAATGGCTGACTAAAATAAATTAACATTCTTTAACTAAAACATTATTTTAAATAAATCAAAGACGATATGTAAAAGTAATAACAATTTTATTTCATTTCAATAGCTATCAGACCTTTTCCGTTGTTTTCAAACACCAAATAAATTAAAATATCACATATTAATGATAAATTTTAATATCACTCACAATGCTTAATCCACTGTAGCACAAACGCCATGGACTTTAGCTTTGCCAGTTGGACAGCCATCACCGGAAAAAGCGGTTCCAAAGCCTTGGTCTAATGTATTATTTGATGGTCCAGTAGCATTGAAACCAAAATGAATTCCACTGTCATTTCTTGCATTTCTGAAGCCAATTCCAGGTGCATTTGCAGGAATGTTTTGTTTTTCGTATGGTACAGCTAAAGTTGCAGTTATCAACAGAAAAACTATGTACGCCTCCATGTCCGATGATGAAGTGTTGAATATTTCGTGCAACCAGTTATGTGTTAACGAATTTTTATTACGCAAATATTTATTCAATCCAACCAATGTACGTGTGAATTGCTCGCAAGGATTTTTTTCTTATATGGACCGATATATTTTTAAGGAAAAAACATTTTGTAATACAAATTCTCTGAACTATAATACGTCTGTATAAGTAGTGTGATAATTTTGATATAATAAATTATCGGGAACGTGTAAGTGTGGATGTTTATATCAATTTAATACATAATGTATAAGATAATATTAATTAATCAATAAAAGCACAGATGCCATGTATTTTAACGAAACCAGTGGCGCATTTGTTGCCAATCATGAACGCTGCTTCCACAATATTCTGGCCTTCCCTACTATAAGTTTTCGCGACGACTTTGCCTGTTGAGTTTTTATCACTTTTTTTATGACCACTTATATTTCTAGCTTCATCACTGTTTGTTTTACCAACTACAAGAATACTATGACCTTGATGTGACCTTCCATCACTTAAATCCTTTGCATCAATTAGTTTTATGACCACAAACTGTATCAAAATCGTCATAGCAATGACCACATGCCACTTCATTGTTCTATAAACTATGATTCCTTTCTACGACAAATTTGTTGTGTTATAAACATTATTGTTTGTCAAGTCATTAACGCTTGAAGATAAATAGTTATCTAATTGTGTGTTCAATAGAAGAAATACCAATAAATTATTTCAATTTAATTGTATATAGTTTTATATAATAAATAAAAACCTTTGGGAAGGCTTTTTTGTTTACATAACTCACTGAAGTTAAAAGCGTCTTTTGCACACAAATTTGGGGAGATTTAAGCAAAAATCTTCATTTAAAACTTCCTAAAAGTTGTACGGTGTAGATCAGTCCACTTCCGCGCATAATCCATTAATTTTCACATATCCAGTCGCACATTTGTCACCGGCGAATGCCGCGAACGAAGTCAGAGGCACAGGCTTAGTGTTTTCACAATTCTTCTTACTTATATCTTTATCATGACTCTCAATAACTTCACTAATATTTCTGCTATTCGTTCTTCCATGTGAATGTCTGCGCCTCGTACGTATTTCTTGCAAGAATCTCGCATAAAGCCTAATAAAACTTATTATATCTGAATCTTCCATAACTTTCTCTTCTTCCAAATGTACCAAATTAATTTTTATAAGGAACAGAGTTATTACTATAATGTATCTCCTCATGGTCGATCGACTTCTGACTAGTACATTTGATCTGATAACCACATAGTTAATTAACATACCATTACGAATAATTAACTTTACACTTATTAGATCATTAATTAATCATTTAAAATATATACAATTAAGGAATTGCTCTCGATATTAAATATTTCAATGATTTATGCTTTATTAATTATTTTTAACAATGCTCTTATATATGAAGGAATACTTGAAAAAGTTTAGACTTCTCTTAGTAAGAGGAAAATCGGGTTAGGTCATAACTTTATAGGAATTAAATTTTTCTTCAATAAACATTAACAATTTCTTTATGGCAATAATTTTGATACAATTAAGCTGTTTTTCGCTACCCTGGACTACGCGAAAATCCTGGATACATTAATCACTATATGTTATTCTAATATATAAGCTATAAAATTATGAAATTTTATCAAAATCCATTCAGTAGTTTTTGTGTTAGAGCAAGAAACATACATACATACAAACTCTTTCATTTATAATATCTGTATGACCAGTTTATAGACATTAGTTGACCCGTCTTCAAACAAAACAATCTTAATTAATTTTCATATGTAGGTCAATGTATCAAACACAAGTAATATCTCACATTTAAGTATTTTCTATATTAAAATACTACACGAAAGTAATATAAATACTTATTTAAAACTCGTTAAATATATTATATATTTGTTAGTTAGTAGTTTTTGTGTAAGGGAACAACAAAACAAACATACATGCAAAAACATTTTATCACTGGATCATAGCAATAAAGTCTTCTTCTTCCTGGCAATTTCCCAGCTTTAGCCAGGGTCTGCCTTTCATGTTGTAAATACATAGTTTCGGCTAATTGTTTTTACGACCGGCCGCCCGCCTGAGATCAACCCTCTTTGGGAATGCATTAATCAGTGATGTCTAAATACTCTTATAAAGTACATATGAGTCGGAAAAACACATTGGTGCTTGCCAGGATAGAACCCGCGCCCTCGGCAACGAGAGTCGGGACTTCTAACCACTAGGCCACCACTGACAATCATCTTCGTTACCACTAATTAATATGTTTTTTTTAATTACAAAACGAATATACAATTCGAGTTACAGTAGTAAGTATTAATGGTAATGGTGTTTTGCAATGCAATGTGTTCACACCATATGGCTTTGACAGCAAGTAAATTATGTTCTTAACCAACTTCAATAAAGTTGCCTTCCGTATTTAAACTTTATATATGTGTGTGTTTTAGACGGCTTAATTATTTATATAATAAAGTTTTTACTATTTAAAGTATAACTCATTTTTTTTTTCTTACATAGACACTACACAAGTTTCTTTAGCATTTACATTATTACTTGAATCAAGTGAAATGTATTCAAATGTTGCCCTTCTTTAAAAATAAGCAAAAATTTTAATTCATTGATAAATTATAATTTAAAAAATACACTGGTAACTTTGGACAGAATTACAAAAAAACGGTTTCAATACGATTTGCACAACATTTTTTCGTTGGAGCTATAAGTTTTGTATTTATGTAAAATATGAAAATTTAAAAAAACATTAATTTTAAGTTAATATTGTATTAAAATAAATAAATAAGTCAATGGTGGCCAAAAGGTTAAAACGCCTGCCTCTCAAGCATGAGGGCGCGGGTTCGGTTCTAGCTAAAGCTGGGAAATTTCCAGATAGACGAAGAAGATTGTATTAAAATAAATCCTAAAACATTAATATCAATTTTCCTTTCTACAGAAAACTTGTTAAATATCAAATAAGAAAATAAAAAATTGCAAATTAATTTTATTTATTCAAATTGAAATAACATAGTTTACATAAATTATTATTTTCTTACACACTTAGTCATAACATGATTTATATACCTACATATATATTTAGAATACATAAAGTAATTCTTCTAATTGTCAATCTACCGTCCCCATACGTCTAATTGATAGTAGTATCCGTATCCTTTTGCGGATTGAATTCTGACTGTGACATTACTGTATCCGATTCCTCCTGCTAGAAGCGAGACTGTGCCGTACTGAGTATAACCAACTTCATTCACGAATAGTCCCGAGATTCTGACGGAAGAATTGCCTCGGAACATATAGTCCTGATATTGAATGGCGTTCGGTCGAGCCGGCTGATAAATGAAGGTTCTGGAATGATGAAAAATATTATAATACAGACACACAATAATATGTTAAATTACAATCATAAAAACATTTAGCGTCAACCAATAAATGAAGGTTCTAATAATGATTGTATAAACAATATTAGAATTCTCACACACAATAATAATATGGGTTTATTACAAGCTTAAAAGACTTTCAGTGTAAATGAAGTAATATTTCTTTCCAAAGGATGTAAACTTATCGAAAGGAAGGCTTAGATTTAGTGCATTTAAATAAAACTTGTTTTTTCCTGCAACTTCGTCCGAGTTAATTTTGGAATTTGCAATATATAGCTGACCAGGAGAACTCTTTTCCACCCTAAAACCCATACATAAATAACCAGATATTGGAATTTATTGAGTTTATTTTCTTTTTCGATCGAACAGAATTAAATATCTTATGTCCGTCCCCTGGTTCTAAATTATATCCCCACAAATATTAAACCAAATCCGTACAGCCGTTTATGAGTTACTAACCCAACTTTCTTTATATATACATATATATATTGCGTCAGAGAGATATAGAGTTATACTTATATACATTACCTTTGTAACAGAACATCGTATGGAGAAACAAAACCAAGATTGAGATTAGTCTGAGTGATATTTTTACTCTTACTACTCTTTATAACAGCACCATTCACGGCAAACGCAAATAAAATAAACAGAAAAATCTTCATCTCAAATGAAAATTAATTTATATATATAAACTATGTAACTTCTATTGTGGCTTCTGCAATACTGATATTAAATATCTAGATAGTTTTAAGAAACAATATCTGAAGGTGTTCTTGGTTTTGATAAAACATCTCTTATCAGTGATTCATTGTGATAGATAAATGCTGTTAACATAAGATACATATATTTCTTTCTCAAATCTTTATTTTAATTTATTTGGGTCTGGCATATTAACTTCCTTCTTATAATACTCGTTTTATTCTTGTCGTAAACAAAACAAAGAAAAATCGTCTCTGACAAATGATATTTCCATTTTAATATGACATAATTTTGAATTTTAAAAGAGTAATCTTCGCATGTTTTAACGTAACGTGTTTGTTTTTACAGTAGTAACACGTATAGACACTATTTTCAACCATCCAATCGTAGATTTTGTTCATAATTTTCTTCGAGATCTAAGGAAAGTCATATATTTCAGAAGATATTGGTGCCTTAACGTCCAGGCTAGACATATTTTATATTCGAGAATATTAAAGCACGTGGTTCTAAAGCTTAAGAGTCCTTGGGAAACCAACATCCCCAAAGACCATGCCATCAAGGTCAATAAATATTACAAGCTCACTAACTAACTATACAACCTACTAAAAGACAATGGCCTGTCCAGAACTAACATTAATTCATTCTTGAAACGGATTGCGAAGGCAGCCCTAGTTGGTTCTTTTCAAATTTGGTTAGGTAGAGAGAGGAGCTTGGACAGTGGAGGTGAGCGTATAACGCGTTAGATAGGGGCCCCTTAAACCTACACCTGGGTCACAAGTCACAGTCACTGTTGAAGCTCCTCTCCCTGCAACGATGGACCCGACACCCGCACGGTGAATACAATGGATGCTAAGAGGTTTCATCTCTCTATTGGTTATTGAAACTTATATCAAATATTGCATATTGTATCATGAACAAATTTAATTTATATAGTCGTTCTAACAAAAATACAATTTGAAAACACAGGATAGTAGGTAAAGATCGTGTAGCTTCTGTTTAAAAAACGTTTTCATTATAAAAATCAAAATAATAATAAAACAAATTCCCTTTATCGATTTATTTGGCTAATATATTATTTATTAAGTTAAGCAACAGATGTTCTCAGATAAACCAAACTGAGAGTTATAATTAACATGGCTCTCTGGATATATAAACTTACTTAGTTAAAAGCCCGAGGGATAAAACAGTTTACGAAATATATATTCTAACTCTCATAATACCAATCAATTTACATGTGTGTGTGTGTGTGTGTGTGTGTGTGTGTGTGTGTATTCTACTTTACGCAGAAATTAAGGACAAAAAACAAAAAATACTTTAAATTATGCAAAAAAATCTTTGGAGATGTTTCTGGTAAAACCCGATGTACATTTTTGTAATTTTCTGTCTCGTCAATTCTGCTAATTGATTCTAACAAGTTTGTACATAATATTTGTGTGAATTTATAAAAAAATGTAGTTTACTGCACTTTAAGGAATGAAAGAGTTATTTCGTAAATTTTGAGGATATCTATAGCTAAAAAATTTACTTATTATACTAAGGTACATTATACAATAAATGAGATAACATGTTTGATAAATTCTTTATTTTTGGCTTTCATTGGTGTAATAATGTCCACTAAAAACTCCTTAATAAGATGAAGAGTGTACAAAAAACATTAAAAACACTTCATCCAGTCAAAAGTTATGACGTAAAAAATATAAAAAGAAATAAGAATAAATTAAGTATATACTCCTGATTTTGAAGTCGGCTAAAAGTAGCAATGGGACATTTCAATACTAACTATATTCTTTGATAACATAATGATTTAAATTATTAATTAATCTATTAAAAATCAAAACAAAAGCCTATAAAAATCTAAAAATCTTTTATCTTTTCCTCTTTTATATATATTGCTATATTTTAAACAGATACTTTTTTAAACCAGATAAAATGTTCACTTATTTGACTTAAGTTACGGACGCCAGCAATTTCAACAAACCAAGTGGGACAGGCAAATATTGGCAGCTCGGAACGTATTATAGAGCTCAAACAATACATTATACATAGTAACAACAATATTTTGTAACAAAACATTACTCAGACATATATACAGTCATAAAAAAGCCGACGAACTGTAAGCATTAAATTATGTACAAATTTTTTCTTCATTTGTATATAAAAGTCAATAATTAATTCAAGAAATCCTAGATATTAAACTAGTTGTCGTAAAATTGATGACACTTAAGACTTTCGCGAGTATACATTTAAAAATTAAATGAAACTAATATTTTTAGATTACTTCCGACGTTTATGTAACTGCAAAGTACCTATGTTGTTTTAAGAATACAATAAGTGTAATCAAATTTCGTTTATTTATAATATATTACTTTATTTCACTTAAATGAATATTGAAAACAAATGAATAACTATCAACAAACATATCTTTACTTTGTGTTTAAGTAAGACGGAACAAAATTACGTACGTGCTAAAAAGGATGTGTCTAAAATCATATAAAAAGCTAATTAATTACCTTTGCAACAAGCGATCGTATGGTCTCACAGAACCAATATTGAGATTAGACCTGGAACTTCGAATTTCTGCAGATTGTACTGCTAAAACCACGATTAAGATCGCCAGAAATGATTTCATCTGGAAAACATAAAATTAACTACTCTTACTAAAACCTATCTGAAACAGTCAGGAGAGTGAGAACGGTCAAATAATTTTAATCTAACTTTTTAATTAATTTATTCATATTATATATATCGTATTTATTATAAACTAGCTTTCCGCCCGCAGCTTAACCCGCGTGGAGTTCGGTTATATCGCGTTTCCAAGAGAAGCTTTCAAAAGTCTGGAATAAAAATTATCCTATGTGCTTTCTCAAGGTTAACTCTTTCTCTGTACCAAATTTCATTAAAATCAGTTCAGTAGTTTAGACGTGAAAGCGTAACAGACAGATAGACAGAGTTACTTTCGCATTTATAACATTAGTAGGGATTTGTTGTTTTTAAAGAGAAGAGACGGCAGCCTCGCTGACGTCACTAATGTCACTTCTTTCAGAACGTTCCTTGATATTTTAAAATGTAACTTCAATTGTTCTTAATGTTCCTGTATTTCTCGAAGGTTCTAAATAATCACATTATTCAATGGTCCGTACTCACTGAACTCTGCCCTCGTGCGTCCAGGCGTTATACTTATACCAAGATTCAAACATAGTTCTATTCTCCTTTTAAATAATCTTTGATTTCGTTTTACTTTTAACAATAATCACGAATACTAATGAGTTTTATAATAATTGATGACAGGCTCAAGTTATTTTCACATCGCATCCGTTATTAAAGCTGATTGCGCCGATATACAGGGTGACTGGTGAATTACTATAGATACTTGAGGACGTGATATTTGACGATCATATTTGACAAAATAAAAATTAATATAACATAAATATTAATAAACTTCTAAGTAAAGTTAACCAAAAGTTATGTAATTAATTACGCATCGTGTGAACACCCTACAGATTAGGTATACACACACACACACACACACACACGTGCGGCGGCGTGGTGTTGTATCAGCACGCCGTCGCACGCGTCCACACTTGGAACGCTTGGAACGTGTCCACACTTTATTTATTTATACGGAAATTTAGTCAAAAATTAAGTGCCTATTTTTTTACATAATTCGAATGAGCATCATGTACCGAGTATTCTCCTTAAATATTGATAGTAATTCACCAGTCATCCTGTATATAAATAATATTAAATTTTAATTACCTTTTAATATATTTGCTGCTTCTTCAATAGTTAGTAATAAACAATGTGCAGTGTGATTTCAACAACACTTATATGGAACTTTTATTCATATCTTGAAATATCTCTTATCAATATCTCATTTCTATGAAATTTAAGATAATATAGTGATGCAAAGTAACAGGAGAAATTGGATAAAATAACTTTTATTTGATGTACTTTTTATATAATAACTAGAAGACCTGGCAAACTTCGTATCTCCCTATAATCAAGAAATATCTATAACGTTTATTTATTTATATTTTTGGAGTTAACCTGTAAGCCATAAATCTCCGTGTTTTGAAGTGCGACAGAATGATTGACATATTAGTTAGTTGTCAAATCTAATGTCAAAAAAAACGTTTGTATGGGAAATAGAAAAGGGCTGTTTTTATGGTTTTCCCAGTAATGAATCAATTTTTTTCAGCTTTTATACCTTCCCTGAACCTCCACGAACATTTCAAGACCAAGATAAGATAAATCCGTTCAGCTGTTCTTGAGTTTTAGCGAGACTAAGGAACAGCAATCCATTTTTATATATATAGAAGATATAGATAAATATAAAGATTACTAAAAGATCTCTTATTTGAAATAGTCCTATGAATAATATGAATAAACACTATGAATTTCCATACGTATTTTCATAGTTTAATAATCTCATAGACTTGAAGAATAATTACTTTTACTTTTATCAGCACTTGAACAAATCGATAATATTGGTATGAACTTCTCAAGTCCAATATAAATATATATAATTGTGCTAATATATACTAATATTAATTGAGAGTATTTAATTAATAGTAATAATAGATATATGTAATAAAGTTACTTTATGTTGCAATAATATATATATGTATGTGTGTCTGTGTGTGTGTGTGTGTGTGTGTGTGTAATAGAGGTGCTTTATATGATAATATCCCGTTGTATAATTCCCCAAACCCATAAACGCGAGTGTCAAACCCTGGCTGTGAGCCAACGATCGTATATCGAGAAAATGTCAAACCATTTGTTTTGGTCGGAAATCTACACGTTTCGACCAAATTCTAGTTTACTGTAAGTTAGTGCAGTAATTCAGGTTAAAAGATCTACTTTTAATTCTCATTCCTTACAGATTACTTTGGGGCAATTAATTGGATGATACTTTTTCGGTACGAACAAATGAGGAACAAAAATATACATGTTATTTCTTTGTTTAAATTTCATTAAAGTACAGAAAGTTTAAATAAACCGAAAATAATATACGACCCCTATTAAAAACTCATTGAACAAGTTGAAAAAAAAAAACAATCAAAAATAAAATACAAATCAAAATTGTATCTCATTTTATAGCAATGATCGTTGAAACATGATCTTTCCTTTAATAAAATGAATTTATTTCCTTTTATAAAAGAAAGTTTTATTACAATGGCCCGACTTGGCATGGCCTCTAAATTACCTTTGGAGCAATAAATACGGCAACTTCCACATCGTTTTCAAGTTTCAAACATTCGGCTGGATATATGATTCTGTCCCAAATTTCCTACATTATTTTTAAAGATAACCATTTCTGGCAGAAGTTAGTAGCTTTGAGAAAGATAAGGGTTTTTGTATAAGAGAGGTTTATTATCAAATGTCTCTGTGACTCGTGCTGTGGCAAAACGCCAAATCTTTTTGATACAAAATGTTTCGTTATATAAATAAGCAATACAGATTTAGGTTTTGATGTAAACTAAATTTAATATATGAAATAAATTTGACATCTATGGTAAATTATACCTGACTATAAAAGTTCTGTTATATACAGATAATTAATACACCTTAGTGGTTGCTCAGTGGTTAAAGGGCCCGCCTCTCGTCGCCGAGGACGCGGGTTCGATCCTGGCCCAGGCAAGTACCAATATGATTTTTCCGAATCATATGCACTCTCCAAGAGTATTTAGACATCACTGATTAATGTTGATTCCCTAAAAAGGGTTGATGTCAGGCAGGCGGCCGGTCGTAAAAACGTAAGGCAGACCCTGGCTATAGCTGGCAAATTGCCAGGTAGAAGAAGAATTAATACACCTTAGACCATATATAAAACCTCCTTTTTCTTTTATAAAAAATAGTATTATACAAATGTGTGCCTTGAGTCATGACATAGAATAAAAACTGCCTTCAACCTACAATTATTATAAATTCAAAGCATCTATATATTTGTTAACTTAGTGTTTTAGTGAGTTTAGTATTTAGTTAGTCATATTGAATAACTTTATAACTATGTAATAAAGAGCTCGAAAACAAGACGAAACTTATTCATAGTGACCATAGTCATTCTTTATTTTAACGTCTGAGTATAAACAAAAGTATATTAATTACAAAACTCCGTCCATAAATCAATAGAGCAGACAAAAATACAGACAAAACAAATAAATCTTTCGTAAACTATGTGTCATATATTACAAGGAATTAAAGCTAACCTCCAAAAGTCTATATTTGGCTGTATTCCAACACTAGCTCCGGATGGCATGACATATTACCAAATTTATGATATTATCTGTGCTCGAATTACGTAAACAACTGTCTATTTACTATCATAACTAATTATTATATTGACTCTTCTACCTAGCAATTTCCCAGCTTTAGCCAGGGTCTGCCTTACATGTGGATAGTTTTGTCTAATTGTTTTTTACGACCTGACATCAACCCTCTTTGGGGATACATTAATCAGTGATGTCTAAATACTCTTAGAAAGTAGATATGACTCGGAAAAATCACATTGGTACTTGGTCAGGATAGAACCGGCGCCCTCGTGTATTAGAGGCGGGCCTTTTAACCACTAAGCCACCACTGACTGTTACTAACTAAATAAATGATTTTGGTTGGTTAGTTGTTTAAAATATGGCCGTCATCCGTGCAAAGACATGAACCGTATATTCAGCCAGTGTCGAGTAGAATTGAAGAGAAGAATAAAATTTAACCGCCCCGGCTAAAGTCACAATTAGGAATTTTGTTATTAACTAATTTTAGTCGTGGCTTATAAAATAGATTGTCAAATAGTTGACAATCGACATATTGGATTCTCATTCTTGTGACAATATAGAATCCTTTTTACAATAGCACAGTTAAGTCTTATCTGAGTTTTTGTTAATTATTATCAAGAAATTTAAAATAGTTTTTATTTATATAATTTATATCGGAATACTTTCTACGAATATAAGTTTTATTATAAGTACCTATAACTAAACTGGTAAAAGATAAAAAAATATGATCATTTATTTGACATAACAAAGCGTAAGTAGTACTTTATTTTATAAAAAATAATAAGTACCTATTTGCATAGAAAAACTTAAATATTTAAAAAGAACGGCGTTATTTTAAATTATGATATATCTTATTAGAAATATAGTGATGTGTTCTTCATTTCAGTGTGTTTGTAACTTTAAAAACATAAATCGATTAAACTTCATCCAAATTGACGAATCCGCGGGACAAGTTATGTTAATCATGACACACAAGTACTTCATTTACTTATCAAACAAGCTTTACTTGGAATATAAATATTTTAGTCATATCTATAAATAGAAAACAGTCACTATTTATCAATATACAGGGTGACTGGTGAATTACTATCAATATTTAAGGAGAATACTCGGTACATGATTCTCATTCGAATTATGTAAAAAAAATAGGTACTTAATTTTTGACCAAGTTTCCGTATAAATAAATAAAGTGTGGACACGTTCCAAGTGTGGACGCGTGTGTGTGTGTGTGTATACCTAATCTGTAGGGTGTTCACACGATGCGTAATTAATTACATAACTTTTGGTTAACTTTACCTAGAAGTTTATTAATATTTATGTTATATTAATTTTTATTTTGTCATATATGATCGTCAAATATCACGTCCTCAAGTATCGATAGTAATTTACCAGTCACCCTGTATATGGAATACAGATAAAAAATACATCCTAGTTAAGTTAGACAGATAATCAAAGTTATCTGAATGCTTGTTACGGTCTCATCGAAAACCTTTAGAGTACACTTCTAGCATAGTTATTAGTTAGTATTAATTTAATTTCAAAGAATTCATAAATCATCAATTACTATATTCAATCATTATCTAAACTACAATAATCATTAGTTTAATAATATGTCAAACACATATATTAATACTTTTAATATTATAAAAATCATTAAAAAAATCATAAAACTTGTAATTTACACTAATATTTATAATTGATAAATATATAACTAAATTATAAATAGGAAAAAATGTTATATTTTATTAACAATAATAATAAAGCATAGATAATAAATTTTCAAAATCATTTCACGATCTGAATGTAGTATCTGTGTCGAAGCCAACCAAAAGTCTATTTAATTTTCTACTTCCAACAATCCCCGCTGGTATTACAAAGTCCGCCATTGTTGTTCGTATGAATTGAGTTTAATTTTAAACTTGCAACTGTCATCACAGTTTTAAAACTTAGTTGAAAAATAAATCAGGTTTTAATTAAATTTACTTACGTAACAAATGACAATAGTCTGATTAATCCGAGTTTATTTATAATATACTAGTTTTATGTATAGCTAGTTTATGTATAGCTGACCAGGCGAACTCTATTCCGCCATACAGGCCATAAATAACCAGATATTGGAGTTTATTAAGTTTTTTCTGTTTCAATCGAACAGAATTAAATATCCTATGTCCGTCTCCTGGTTCTAAACTATCTGTCAACCAATTTTCAAACATATCCCTACAGCGTAAATAAATAAATAGCGTAACTAACACAACTATATATGATTAAAATATATGTTTTTTTTTCATAGGCTGTGTCTGACTCGATGTTAGTAGAATTAAAGGCTTGCTTTATGGAAGCTTACGATGACAACCAGGATGGAAAAATCGACATACGAGAGGTAATGCTTATATCTACATAACACGTATTTAATATAGAAAAAAATGTAATATTCTTTACTCCATTTGATTTTTATACTTTAATTTATATGTATAAATCGTACATCAGTTTCCATACTTCATGATTACATTGTTAAACTATATAAAGAGACTTTCCAGTTGTTCTATCATCTACATTAATTATGAAGATTTATTTATGAAAATACTCGACCATAACTACAAAATCAAACTACATACTACTATTAGTATCATACATTCTAATAGTAGTATCATACATACTAATACAATACATACTACCACAATAGTAGTATTAAACATACTTTTAGTAGTATGTATTTTGGCAATGGAAATTGTTATTAAAAATACAGTTTAAATATTATAAGAAAGCCCAGTAAACTTAACACTAGTTTGCATCTACGTACTTTTATACTACATACTATAGTTAATAAAAAAGCTTCAAATTGCTGTATTTCAAATTGAAAATGCAAACTAATGGTCAATATACGAACATTGTGAGATTGTTTTTTATGCAACGATTAAATATATTTTTATTTCATTGAACCAACAGTTTATTCATTCTTAAATCAATATAAATAATTTCTGTTAACATAAATTAAAAATTAATGTTGATATTAATTACAGATTAACCAAACGTTATGTTTATAATCTGTCAAATGTCAATGTTTTTTTGACAGCTCGCTCAACTGTTGCCGATGGAGGAGAACTTCCTTTTGCTTTTCCGATTCGACAATCCCTTGGAGTCGAGCGTCGAGTTTATGAAAGTATGTATTATATGTTACTACAAAATTAAACCTTTTTTGATCTGTCTTTTTTATTATTTTTAACAGTTTTTATCTTGTCTATACTTATTCCAAGTTTGTATGGATACATTAACCCGCGTATACTATTATGTGAGAATATTTATTAATGAAATACTGAGAACGCATCGTACATGAGCAGAAACAAACTTGGATTAGATCAAATTAAACTTGTATAATTATATGTAATAACGTCAGAAGGATACTTATGTTTTAAGGATCTATCTTCAAATAACTTTCACAGAAACCATAATTAAAAAGAAACCTAAATCAAATGCATTTCCTGTATGTTGTCATATTTGACGTTCTATTTATATGTCAATGTCATTTTTTTTTTCGAATTTCCTATCTTTGTATAAATGTCGTATATGTATATTAATAAATTAATCTGTGTACAATATCATACGTAACATGTGATCACTTGTAAAGCTTCACCCGCATATGGCGTTTGTGAAATATTATTGAGCGTTATATAACACCTCTACATATAAAGGTATGTACATAACATACACTAGGCCCTGCCCCCGACTTCTGAGATGAATTTTTATTTCCCTCGGGTTTTGATTTTCTTCTAGATTAATGTAATTCACTCTCGCTGCGTACTAAGAGATGTTTTAATGCATAGTTGAAAACTATTGGCTGAATGCAAAACTTCATGGCTAGTTTTTTAGTTTTTCTTTTAATTTCAATATAATTTTTATTAAAGATAAATTAACTGTCTCATTTATATTATTCTTATTACATAGATTTACTAAAACGTCAATTAAAAAACGGACATTTAACAAAATTCCTATCTTTTTTCATTATTAGCTGATTTAAAATCTTCTTTAACAAAGCAAAATAAATATTTCGTCCAAAACATACAGCCGAAACAAAAATCAAATGTAATTTCAGACGTAGAAGTAGTATGTATAGTATAAATAAAAATTCGATAAGCCGTATATAGACATGAGACACTCAACAAGTGTTGTTCGGTAAAATCGATAATGCTTACAGATTTGGCGGGAATACGACACAGACGGCAGCGGGTACATCGAAGCGGACGAATTGAAGGTGAAAATAACTATTATTAGTATATTATACATAATTATTACTTGTATTATAATTACAATTATATTTCTTCTAGAATTTCCTTAGAGATCTTCTCAAAGAAGCTAAGAAGATTAATGACGTTTCAGAGGACAAACTTATAGAGTATACGGACACTATGGTAAATATATTTATTTATATAAAAAAATCGAACTTAAAGAGGTTTTATATAATTTTTATTTATCAAAATTTACGATATTTCAGCTCCAAGTATTCGATTCGAATAAAGATGGCCGTCTTCAGTTGTCTGAAATGGCGAAGTAAGTAAAAGAAAAAGCAATTCTGATACAACGTTTCTGTTGATATTTTTACGTTTACAATTATCATTATTTCTGGTTACATAATATGTATACTGAAAGAAAATATTTTTTTTTAGGAATACACGCGAAAATCTGAAATTTCAAAATATGTATGCATTAAATTTAGATTTTTTAATGAGTGAATTCAATAAAAACTATATTACTTTGTCCGTTTTAATTTTACCAGAAAAGTCATAAAAAATTGCCATACTAATACTCGAAAGCATATATTTTTATTAAAAAACAATTGATTAAATACTACATTTTATGTATTGCGAATTGATATAATAATTATAATCTATATCAAATGTCAAAACCAATAAATGACAAGCTATTTTATTTCATCTGTCATTTATCGATAACATTTGTATTTATAACAATAAGTTTATTATATAGTTATATTAAAAATAATATAATTCATAACAATATTCGCAGATTGCTCCCCGTTAAAGAGAATTTCCTCTGCCGTCAAGTGTTCAAGGTGAGTGACGCGCCCCATTCAACCTCACGCCCGCCATTTTGAGAATCATTTAATTTGTTTTATTATACTTATTTTTGAATTTAATACATCGTTACATGACATGTCTGTTTATTTACTGTATAGCTATGTTTTTCGTAATATCATATTTATTTTAGCTTGTCTTAATAAAGATTTAAGATTAGTTGACAAAGATATATTTTCTTTAAAAAGTTTGGTTATTTTTTTCAGTATTTTGTACGTTGTAGTTAATAATGCATTGTATGTTCGTATTGAATATTCTTAAAGCTTGCTGACGCTTGTTTTGTTACACTTATTGGTATTCAACTCGTCATATCACAGTCACTTCGATACAACATTATTACATTTCTTCACAACATTAAAATACTATAACATTAGAAATTAGATGATATAAATGATATATAAAAAAATATTTGTATAAATACAAATACAACAGGCACTATAGTTTGGATTATAGATCCAATAGTTTAGTAAAAAAATAATAATTCAGTACCTATAAAAAAATCTAATTATTAACATGATATACAAATATAACAGCATGTGATATCTATAATCTATAATATGTATAAAATAATAAAGAATTTAATGTTTAAAGCATGTTTTCTAAATATTTTATTTGCCTCTATCTATCCTACACTGCTTTCCGCACCGCACTCTTAGGAGGGCATAGAGGTGAGTCGGTCTACCAACGCCTTCGGGAAATTGAAGGAAAATTTAATTAAAAACTCCTTATAATATCCTCTTTGCTTGTAAATAAATGACATCTCATTTAAAGTTGTCAAAAATGACACTGACATTTGACGTTTTGACATTTCCAAAATGAAGTTTGTAATCTTTTGATGGATTACTTCGCACACTACGCTATTTCGCACATCTTTATACAATAGTAGATGTAGCGTTGGAAATTTAACACATTAATTATACTAAAAGTATATTAATAACCCATTATTAAGGTTTTAATTGTAAATATATAAAAATATACAACCTTATTGCTTAATAAAGTGTAATGTATGCCTGATTTAATTTAATTTTATTATTTCAGGGCGCCACGAAACTAACTAAGGACGACATTGAACGAGTTTTTTCGCTTTATGACAGGGTAATTTTTATTATATTTTATAATTTTTAGCAAATTTCTTACTTATTGAAAATAATAAAAATGTAATGTTAATAAATATTAAATGTCGATAAAGTTCCTTGTTACATTTCGCTACTTCCAAGCTGAGAAAAATTAAGGAGCTGTCACGGGATATCGAAGTAACTTTTTAATCAATATCGTTTTGTGAGGAGGAATACTTGAGAGGGCCAGATATATATATATATATCCCTACTAATGTTATAAATGCGAAAGTAACTCTGTCTGTCTGTTACGCTTTCACTTCTAAACCACTGAACTGATTTTAATGAAATTTGGGACAGAGATAGAGTTGACCTCGAGAAAGAACATAGAATAGTTTTTATCCCAGACTTTTAAAAGGTTCTCTTGGAAACGCGATATAACCGAACTCCACGCGGGCGAAGCTTGGGCGGAAAGCTAGTATAAGCACGTACTAATTATATTTTGTAAAGAAGGTCTCTTTAAATACACTTACTGAAAAAGACATTAGACTTAGTGAGAGTTAGTTAGTCAACTGTTAAACCGTCAGCTAGAACATTACTAAAAAACTAAGACGAATAGTGCTTACTCTAATTATAGAAAGGTTATTCACTAATTGATTTTAGTTGTGAAGTTCGCAGATTCGAATCCTGCTTGTGTCTTTCTATACTATTAAAACATATTTACAATAATAAACTTACTACTATAATCTCAAAAATATGAATGATAGTATAACATTAATTACATTTCTATATATAACGATGTTTTTACTAAAACATAACAATAATTATTTAATATTAATATGGCAACACTGTCTGTATATGTACAGGATAACAACGGCTCCATAGAAAACGAGGAACTGCGAGGCTTCCTAAAAGATCTATTGGAGCTTGTAAAGAAAGTAAGTATATTAATAAAAATTTAATAATTAAAAAAAATTAAGTCGTTTCTAACCTTACTATAAATATTTTAATATAATTGCAATATTACTTAATAAAAAAATAATATTTTTCGGATTATACTACGCGTTATTTTATTATTTTAACTACATACTCCCGACGCGACGTTTCGGTTACTTTACAGCCACAACGCGAAAGCAATCACTAGGAATATATTCTTATATATATGTTTATACATACTAGCTAGTAATACTAGCATAAATTTTGGGTTGTATGTATTTTTTAATGCTAAATAATTAAGGGTGAACAACCCTTATGGCTTAGTTGTATGAAAAATAGATGTTATCCGATTCTCAGAGCTACTCTCACCTATGCTAACAAAATTTCATCAAAATCGGTCCAGCCGTTTCGGAGTTCTCCGTCTACCATCGCGACAGGAGAATTTTATATGAGATAAAAAAATACTTCGTTTGAATTTCCAGGACTATGACGCCCAGGATCTCCTTGAATTTGAGGAAACAATACTCCAAGGCGTCGAATATAGCAGCGAGGGAAAAATAAGCCGGAAACAGCTGACCATGATTCTTCTAGCACTCGCCAAGCACAACCAAGAAGATGACGTCACACCCTGAATTAAACAAATTACACTACACACTCCGTCCCAGTTAAAAGAATAAAAATCATTACAATTTTATTTGTATTGTTGTATTTTGTTGTCTATGGTATATTAATATAATTGTTGTCTATGGCTTCTAGTAGAATGTTGCTGATCTATGTCTATTATCTACTAACTGTGTAGCTATATTAAAAAGATTATTTTGACAGTTAATACGATGGAAAATATAGTAGATGAAATTTTATGATGTTATGTGCTTCATAGTTTTTTGTACAAGAAGCTGAAAAAGGTTTAATGTTATACAGCCAAAAAGTTACGTTTATCCAAACTTAATCGGTAATCAGTTGTTAATAGGAAAAACACTAGATACTAAAATTTATATTTACTAATATCAAACGATCGAAAAAATATGCAAATATATTTACAATAAGCAAAGTATTTTGAAACTCTTAGCAATTTGATCTTAAACTACACTCACTAGATTTCATGTTTGCATTTGACAGGACGGGAATATTGAATTTTTCAACTATAAGCTAAATAATTGTCAAAAAATTTGCAAATCTCTTGAAACACAAAAATATAAAAATATTTTTCGGTACTAAAAAAACTAGTTCAAATTTAACTATCAATTGTTGCCATATCTTAATTAATGAGCACCATTTTATGAAATTCAGGATTTTAAAAATTTAAATAAGTATTTTGTCACATTTTAAAAATTGAATCCATAGTTCAAAACGTCATCATAAAGCCAAAGCGATTGCCAAATGTTAGAATAGTTAACAAAGTATTTTCCTATTTTTTTTTTAATTTAGATTTGTTTTTGACAAAAAAGGTTACATATCTTCTAGCACTACTTCCGAGTATTTAATTTCAAAACAATAGGTGGCTTATGTGGAAGCAAAAATTTTAGTATAGATAAATTTTTTAATATAATAATAACGATCACACCAAAAAATACACGAAAATAATAGTTTTTTATGTAAATAACAGCATGGTTTTTGTATTTTTTGTACATTATACACTTTAAACATAAATAACATGAGTTTTGTGTTGTGTCAATAAAATACATGATATTTGTGGTGAAAAAAATACCTTAAAATGTCATGTTTTTTTATATAACCAGACAGAGTATTAATATTAATATAGATTTATTATTTTCAATTATTACTATATAAAAGAATCTTTATTTTTTATCAACATTGTTAATGTATATATATTTCTATACACTATATAGTGTATTTTCCCAAAAAGCGTTGATGTCAGGCAGGCGGCAGGTCGTAAAAACATTTAGCCAAAACTATTCACAACATGTAAGGCAGACCCTGGCTAAAGCTGGGAAATTCCTAGTAGAAGACACTATATAGTGTTTTATTTTAAATCTAAAATTATTAATCGCACCTTTACTTATATGTAATTTAGTAAGACATAAATAGAAAAATATTATGAATTTATATATATATATTAAAAAACCGAATATATCTGCGTTGTGATAACTATATAGGTAAAAATTAATGTCATAAAAAGCACAAAACGCCAAGTTATTTATATTTATAATGTATACATAGATATAAGTGATATATGTTTAATATATAAATGTTATTAATAAGTTATTTTTGTTAGCGTGTGTTAGTAAGTCATATTTATTGAAAATGTCAATTAGGATCATGTTTAGGGTTGACACATCAGAGCTTTGAAAATCGTCATTTACAATTTATTTACATACAACACAACATAACTTGATGTTTTTTTCTATTAAACTTAATTTATTTAAGATATTTCTTAAAATATATTTTAAATCAAATTAATCTGAATATAAAGTCAAGTGATCACAAACTCTGAGGTGACAACCCTACATTTTAAGTCACAGAATAAATTACTAGATAAATTGAATGTTATAGCAGAATTTGTGTTAAATAAGCCATAAACAGCTTATTATTGTCTAAGGCATGCTGTAATTGTCGTGATAACCCATCCCTGGCTCCGTGTTAATAAAAATTGCAAAAAAAATGTTTATATTTATAAACATGTGTTTTATTTTTCCTCCCTATACGTCATTTTGACATTTGATAAACTTATTAAAATAAATTCGTGACGTAGCATCCAACTTAATAAGAAGAATTTTGAAAACAATCTGACTTGTGCTTTGTTATAATTAACAAAGATGTTGTAATAGATTTTCATATTATATTTAATTTGTTGCATTTATTAAGTCGCAAAAAAAAAGAACTGGTATTTTTGAATAATAATGATTAATACATTATGTTATAAAATTTATATTAACTTAGATATTATTAATTTAGTTAGATATATCGGACTTATTAAATTCATTGTTTTTATAGAGACAGACGCCAGCCTCGCTGACGTCACTAATGTCACTTCTTTCAGTACGTTCCATGATATTTTAAAATGAAACTTCAATTGGTCTTAATGTTCTTGTATTTCTCGAATGATCTTACAATCACATACTTCAATGGTCCGCACTAACTGAACTCTGCCGTCGTGAGTCCAGACGTCATATTTATACCTAAAATTAAAGCATAGTTCTATTCTCCTTTTAAAAAACCTTTGATTTCGTTTTACTTTTAACAATAATCATCAATACTAATGAGTTTTAATAATAATAATTGATGACAGGCTCAAGTTATTTTCATATCGCATCCGTTATTAAAGCTGGTAGCGCCGATATATATAACCATTTTCTTCTTGGGCTCCTCTTTACATATGTTTTATTTATAAAAGTAGTGTTGTATAAATTTGAATAAAAATTTCAATCTTTAAAATTTACAACTATTTATTTAGTTAACTGTCAGTCATTTTTGAAGTGAAACTTTTTATGCGACTTACAACAAGGTTGCTTCAAGCATTTAACGCTCTTGACTCCTGAGAGGGAGGAGGGGATGAAAGAGGCTGAGTGAGAGGGAATAAATTATGTTTTAAAGAAACATTAAATATTCCTTAAAAATCAATTTCTACCCCCACCCGTTATCATTCCAACATTACGAACTGCACATCTTCCCCGAAGCGGGACTCCACTCACGACTTTTTTTTTTAATTATTAGTTTGTTCTTTTATATTTTTAAATAAGAATCATTTAATGATTTGCTACATTATAGGAATCTGGAGTCACAGCAGTGACCCCACCAAGTCGAGCAAAAAACAGTGACATAGCTTACCATACTTTCCTCAAAGCTGTTTGGGTATTTTCGACCCCATGTAACTTCTTTGTAGATTGAACGAGAAGGCTATATTTCTCGTAATCCAACAAGCATTGTATGAACACGGTATATTTCAAAATAAATTCATATTATACCAGGAGTTTAAGAATTAACCAGCCGAAACTTTTAATTTTGTTTAATTTTTCGCTCACTGACTTACCGATGATCAAAATTCTATGTCACTTCTATTTATCTTCTATTTATTATTTTAGTTTTTAGTGTATAAATCAAGGATAAACTGAAATATGTTGCAATTGCAATAGTTATACTATGAATATATCTAGCTCGTATCATAAATCAAAGATTGGGCATCCAGATTATTCATTGATGGTACATATTTGTGAAGCAGACGGTTGGTACAGGGAAGAAAGAAATTAAATTTTTCTATAAAAATAAATTAGATGACAACAAACGCAACACAGCGACCCTCATTTTATAATCGCATGAAACAATCTTGTATAGTGCTTGTGAGTTACATTGTGTTTTCATGTTATGGTCAAATCACTTTATTTAAACATAAAGACATTTAATAATTAATGAAGTCAGTGGTGGCCTAGTGATCCTGGCCCGGGCAAGTACCAATGTGATTTTTCCGAGTCATATGTACTTTCTAAAGAGTGTTTAGACATCACTGATTCATGCATTCCCGAAGAGGGTTAATGTCAAGCAGGCGGCCGGTCGTAAAAACAATTAGCCAAAACTATTTACAACATTTAAGGCAGACCCTGGCTATAGCTGGGAAATTGCCAGGCAGAAGAAGAAAAAGATGAATATATGTAGCTAGCATCATAAGTCAGGGAATAGGTATTCAGCAAATTTTTGAACCAGTGCTGTAATAATTTTAGCAGCTTAATGTAAATTTTCTGTAAATAACTTAAAAGAGAGACTATCTGGAGAACTTCCAGTGTACACAACTATTAAAAAGAAATTAGAAAGAGCATTTTCAATGCGATGTCGAGTGTCATTTCATTAAAAGGGACATGATTATTTTATCCAAAAATGATACTGCAAGTAAGAAAATTATATTTTTTTCTTCACCATCGGAAAAAAGAGATTTCAACAAATGGAAATTATATCAAATTTTTGAAAATAGCTGATATTTTGACGGGTAATTTTTCGATTGAAAATGAGGCTGCTTTTTTAATATTTATTCATAATAAGCTGAAAAAATAAAGATTTCTGCTCAAATAAATTACAGTGTATTTGGGAGATCAAAAGGAAAGTTTTCATCAAATTTCATGACAAAAAATTGTTTTTTGTATGAGACAAAAATAGAAAACCAAAAACTTGGTTTTTCGAATTTCCACATAAAATTTGAGCTTATGTGAAAAAAATGTTAGTACAAAAGTTTTAGATCTTTTTATTACCTACAACTTTGCCATATAACATTTTTCCGTAGGACTTTTAGTTTTGACGGAACTCGACAAAACCCATTTTTTACCCTTAAATACCCACGCCCGTACCCTTCCCGACCTCAGATCGCCCGTAAATTATTTTTCCTTTAATTTTTATAATATTATCCTCCTTTTCTAATGAGTTTGCATTCTATAATAATTTAATTATCTTTAAAAGCTATCGGCACTGGTCTAAAAGTGTTTCGAGTAATATTTAATTTATTCCATAAATAAGTTTTATTATTTTTTATTATTACCAAGTTTTATTATTTTTTATTAATGCATATAAATTTTTTGTAATAACCTAAACGTTGTGTTACACAATCTTCTTATTGAACATTTCAAGTTAACACTTCTGTCAAGCGTCCCAAAACACGCAATTTTTTTTTTTCATAACTTTTGTTTTCGATGGCTTTAAGGATTCTCAAAGGTATGCAGTTCGAAAATGATATCGACATAAAGATACCTGCGTCCTTTTTTCTTGAAAAAATATAAATAAACGACATAAAAATACATCTTATTTGAAGAAATCCGTCCTGCGAAGGGATTTTAAAGAAAACTTTTTAAGAAACTAATTAATTGTTCTAGAAAACTTTATAAACTAATATCTTGTAAAATGTTGGAGGCAGCTTTAAAGGAGTTGATAAATTTTGCTACTAAAAAAAGTTAAATACCTATATAATAGTAATAGTGGTAAAAAAAAGACAGTTACCCCTTTAAGATAACTTTTTTAATACATAGATAGTCATTGTTATCGAAGACCAAACAAAACTTACTATAAATATTACAGACTAGTTTTTGCCCGCGACTTCGTCCGCGCTTCGTCATTAGTAATATAATTATGTATGTATAGCTGACCGGGCGAACCGGGCGAAAGGTATTGGTATTTAATAATTTTTTTCTGTTTCAATCGAACAGAATGATTGTCAAATCTAATTTCAAAAAAAACGTTTGTATGGGAAATAGAAAAGGGCTGTTTTTATGGTTTTCCCAGTAATGAATCAATTTTTTTCAGCTTTTATACCTTCCCTGAACCTCCATGAACATTTCAAGACTAAGATAAGATAAATCCGTTCAGCTGTTCTCGAGTTTTAGCGAGACTAAGGAACATTAATCCATTTTTATATATATAGATTAATGAAGGTTTTTTTACTGGAATGTCTTTTCATAATTATATTTTATTGAAAGGAATATTGAATTTTTAACTTCACTGTTTATTTTTTTATTTATTTTTATTTGTAAACCTTGATATATATTATGTAAAAATAAATATTAATAAATTACTTAAAAATACTCGTCTACTCATTAAAATGTTTTTATTTATAATCTGTAGTCTATACAATCATCAGCGTCTCTTTAATTTTTTAACCAATGATAACGCAGAACGCCCTTAGTAAACCATAGATTAATAAACGCCATTTTTCTCTTGCCCATTGCTTTACGGCAGCGGTGCAGTTTCACCGTACAGCTAGCCGTATAAACCGTTCCGGTTATATTAATACAAGTAAATCTCAATAAGCAACAACCATGGGAGTCACGGTTGAAACCATCACTCCTGGAGATGGTGAGTAAATTTTCTATATCCAATACTTTTGCAAAATATAACCTGCAATGCTATTCCAAATTTGAAAAATAGAAATGGACGTTATGAACACAATTGTACTAAGTTAAATCCATATATTAAACAAATCGTTTAATTGTTGTAGAATCTACTTACCCAAAGAACGGTCAAACGGTGGTCGTTCACTACACTGGAACTTTAACAAACGGTCAGAAGTTTGATTCCTCCCGCGACCGCGGCAAGCCCTTCAAGTTCAAGATCGGCAGGTCCGAGGTGATCAGGGGCTGGGATGAAGGCGTTGCCAAGGTGAACTTCAACTCGAATTAACTAACAAACACTAAAATTACGCCCAAATGCTGAAAATACCTACCTAGTAGCCTAATACCACTTCATTAGTAGTATAAAGTTGTAATGTGACTTATTATCAATTACAGATGTCTGTAGGCGAGCGAGCCAAGCTAACTTGCAGCCCTGACTATGCCTACGGTCAGAAAGGTCACCCCGGAGTCATCCCACCGAACGCTACTCTCATCTTTGATGTTGAACTTCTCCGTCTTGAATAACTTTCCTACATTAGTATAGCTCTCATACTACCTTAAGGCAGTAGCCTTATAGTGTTCAGTCATTTAATTATTAATTTTTAATGTAAGGGTTTATGGCAATTATGCATCCGTTATTTCAAAGATCAATCGCATTTTGTATTTACACAATTTCAATCAACATTCCCGTAGCATTTTTGATGTCAATTAAAACTATTTTTCTATAAATTACTGATTCAACATTTATTAAATTATATTAAGCACAAGGAGAGACAGTTAAATGCATTGGATTTTTTAATATTAATTTTTTTTATTACTGTATTTTACCTTCTGGTAGATAACTTGAAGCTTTATAATTTAAAGTTTAGAATAAACATCATCTAACTCAGCGTTTGTTTTATTTGTCTTACTTTAAAATTTAAGTTATCAAAAAAGTATTAATTATCACAAATAAAAGAAATATATAATAGTTTATATATAGGTATTTATCTTTATATTATGCTATAGCTAGAGAAACTTTGGCATCATTAATTTTAAGCTAGAAGTGTTGAATAGTTTTCTACACAAATTATGATATTGAAGAAAAAGTTATTGATTCTGTTATAATATAAAATCACTCTTATATTATATTTTAAATGTTTTCCAAATTACATAAAAGTTTTCATTCTTAAGTAACACTTGAACACATTTTTATATTGGAATGAGATTTATTATTTTGGAGAAACAAAGTTTAGTCCTCTAACTACGAGACAAAAAAAAGGTACAACTCAAGTGTATAAACAGCATAAAAACATTAAGTGTTACATAATTAAAAAGAACAACTATAGAAATATAGTTGCATGGTGTCAAGACATATTTCCAAAACTCTATTTAAATAAAGAAAATCTTCAATAATAATAAAGAATACACCGTCCCGATAGATGCTTTAATATCTATTTTATATATTTTAATGAACTGCGTCACAGTATTCCTAGACCAAAGGGCTAAAAAAACCTTTATTATTTGTAATTTAACCAGTACAAAAAAAATATGGTATTGGTCAAGACATAAAAACTCGTGGACGGAAATAATCGACTCTATTTGACCTTATAAATCTAGGTTACTAGTTACTACTTAATAATCCATTGTAGCTGAGCTAAACCATTTGTAGTTACTTTTACTATGTATGTAGGTATATCTAAGAATTAAAGAGTTAGTAAAATCTGTAATTTTAAAGATTATTTTAATTAAATTTATAATTTAGCTGCCATCCACAAAGAAAATAAGCAAGCAGACTCCAAAAATTATAACAACCACAAAAAATTAAGATCCGAAAAAGTAGTCATAAGGCAGAGAAAAAAATTGCCCAAGATATTCATATGAGTATATATATATATATATTTTTATGGGTTGCAGTATTATTAAAAGGTGTCAGAAATAAAATAAAACTATTAAATACTTTTGATAAATAAATCTTGATATCTTTATTCGACCTTCTTTTTTATAAATGCTCTTTTAAACAAATCATAAACAAAACTCCCGTTTTCAATCAACACAAAAATATAATTTAATTCTTTATATGTCTAACATATTACTAGTGCGACTTCATACAAAGCGGCGACTGAAAAAAAAAGAAAATTGGCTACGTATTGAAAAATACAGGTTAACCTTAAAAGAAAAACAGATCTTTATAGAAATATTAGAAAATGAATATTAACTAAACCTCATTACAAGCACTTCTTATAAATTTGAAACTCTTATCAAACAAACGCTTTATATATTACAATAGTTAATCATCTACTTATTGAACTATTTGAGATTTTTTCACTTTTATTTGTTGACCTTTCTACGTAGGCGTTAGGACGATTTTTGTTTCACATAAACATATCTAGATCATTCGGATTATGAAATACTATTTACAAATTACAAAATACTTAACTATCCACAAAAAAAATATGGAAACATTTATTTTTTTTATTTCAATGATTTAATGAAAACAATAGCCGCCATCTTTGATCAATTAACAAATTATTCTAGAATTTATCTTTTGAAATAAAAAAAGGATTGTCTTTTTATATTATACGCCAACGTAGAATATATGTATCACTTCACAATACAAAAATATTTATGATCTGTTATAAAATCAACATTTGTTTTGTTAACATAAAAAGTATTACTCCGCTTAATTATAATAAAGTTAGGCATCAATTTTTATCCACGTAGTATCAATTACAAAAATATAATGAAACTATTCTGCACTTATAGATAAACTGAAAAATATATAACAAAAATTATTTCATAAGTACAAATGTAACATAAGAAACATTGTCATATTTACAAACAAGGTTTAAGTAACAAAACGCGTCATTTCCACTTCCGGTGACGCCACAAGCCTTTGGCATGAGAACATTCATCCATACCAATACAAAAAAAAAATATAAGTGAAAATATATATTATTTAATTACCCATAATATGGTTCAAAATTAACTTTAGTGTCTACTGTTGGTATTTTACTGTTAATTGTCAAAGATAAAATTACATCGTATTCACAATGAGAATCCTGTGGTAAAATTAATGTTTTATCTAAAATGTTATTTGGATTGACAGAAAAGTTTTCATTAATCATTATTGTATAGCAACTGATGACTTCACAAATTTGGTATTTAATTATTCAAACCCTGTTTATAAATCAATGAGAAAGAAAAAAGTCACTATCATAAAAATATTACTAGTATTTGTTATATTCAAAATAAATAGAATTTGAGTTTTCGTAACTATAAGAATGTTGTGCTCTTACATAATATATTTACAGTTTTGAGCATCACAAAATGTCTTAACAGATAAAGCTATACTAAATGTATGTTAACTAATAATATTCCTTATAATAATAATGAAAAAAAATTGCCACGAATTTGTTTTTTCTTACTAAATAATATATAAGTCTATACATCATTTCTGATGTGTTCAAGTTATGAATTAGGTAAGGGCTTTAATGGGCCGAGACTTAATAATCCATCTGCACCTAGCGCCTGCAAACTAGTTGTGAGCCCGTTCTGCATACTGTGGACAGATATCACAGGTATACCAAAGCAACCGTTCGCTTGTTCCCTATTAGCCAACGGTATAAAACTATATATCCCTAAATTACTAAGACGTTTCAAATTATCTTCTTGCGAGAGGTCCACTACTGGTAAACCTAGCTCTCTGTTCGGCCCCACGACGTTGTGGAATACCCTTTTGTGATGCTGCAACTGCAAGGATTTGGGATACGACGCGGGGCATTCGTCGCATTTGAAAACTGGTATTTTACTCTGCGCGTGATGAGCGTTGGACATGTGTACTTGTAGGGAATTGTGGTTCATGAACATTTTCTTGCATATCTTGCAAGCTAGCATGCCGCCGCCGACTTTAGCCTCTGGTATGGAAAATTTACTAGATCTAGACGTGTGTTTAATACTGACTCCTGAACCAAGATTAGGTATGTGTGGTAAAGGTCGTTCCGGTGTAGGTGATCTACTCTTCTGCTTCTGTTTAACACTTATACCTCTCGATGCTAGAACATTGGCCATCGCGTTCGCTTCCTTGTTAACCGTCTTCTTTGTTATGGAAATTTGACTGCCCAGGTTTAATTTGTCCTTTGCACCTTGGACGCTATGGATCAAAGGCAGGCCGTCACGTTGCTTCTGCATTGACATAACGTGACAATCTTCATTATCATGTTTGCCGGGTAGGAGCATATCTGATCGCCTTTTTTGACCTGGACCTCCCATGGCGGCGCCGGGTCGTTTCATGGGCATCCGTGGCCCCACTTTACCACCACGAACTTGTCCGTGGACTTGAATACCAGGCCTTATTGTCGGCCTTTGTCCTCTCACAGACGGCATCCGCGGACGATTTGCAGCAATATTTGCACCCGCTGCCATTCTAATTGGCGTGGGAGCTGGCATTTGTCCTCCAATACTTTGACCTGCTGCCATCTGAGCCGAGGTAAATTCAGGTCCGCTTGTTATCGGTTGTCCGGGTATCGGCTGGCTCGAAGCACCGATCATCTGTCCGGGCGGAAAAGTCTGAATGTTTTGTATTTTTATACCACTGCCTGGCGGTTTCATTCCCCCGGGACTACACGCAGCTCCATACGAATGACTGGGTGATGTTCCCGGCGGACCCATCGCCCCGGGCTGTTGACCCATCATAGAAGATTGTCCATATACAGATTGCTGCATACTCTGCAACGGAGAGGCTGTCGAATACGGTGATGGGGCCATTGAATAGGAAGTCGGAGGCATCGTTGATGGATAACCAGATTTGGATATCGGACTTTGGTACTGGCCGTAACCTTGTCCCATATAATTTGACCCTTGATACTGTCCTGGCATTGACATCGGTTGATTCTGGGAACCGTACATATTACTGGATGGATGTGAATAAGAGCCGTGCATGTTTTGTGCTGGGCTGGCACCAGATGTAGGGCTGTTGTATGAGTTGTATGCCTGTGGAGGTACCATAACACCTCCACCACCCGGATATGCTTGTATATTGATCATAACGTTTTGTTGATGGGTGAAACCTGAACTCCCACTGCTTATATTTGATAGTTTCCCGACCTGTTCGGCTAACTGTTTGACTGGTAGTAAGCTGGACAAAATATTCGATGAATGATTGTATGGCATAAGTGTTGATGGGGTTGGAGCCACCAGACTTTTTGAATGTCCCGTCACCCTTTTGTGTTCTTCTAACAATGTTACATCAGTAAATCTAGTATTGCATATATCACAAGTATGTTGAGGACCTAATGTATCTAATGAAATGTATTCGCTTGCATCTGATAGTGACATATTTTCTTTCTTGGTTGATAATAAGCTTTCGAAAATATCATCAGCACTTTTCTCCAACATGTCTAAAGGAGGTTTGCTATCCGGTGCGTTCCAATTGAAATTGTGTTGCTTTTCTGTCGAAGGTGCTGTTGACAAACGAGAAGACATATTGGAAGAACTGTAACTAGATTGTGATGTTGTATATGTGGATGTAGTGGAATAAGGTGGTGGGGCTGTAGTTTCTACTTTTGGTACGACTGGTTTTACATCTGGTGCCGGTGTTGTAGACACTACACAACAGTCATCGTCTTCGTCATTCGAATCTCCATTGATTTCTATGACAGTAACAGATGTATCTTCAGATTTCTTAACTGGTAGCAAGGGAGCGGAATTATTAACATCATTCTGTTGATCGGTATTTGCTGAACCCTCAGGTTCTGATTTAACTCTGGCTAATACTGGCGTGGATCTTTCGGATAGTGGTGGTGACGACCGTTCAGATTTAATGGTCGAGGAGAAAATAGGTAATTCCTGTTCGGATGTTTTGGTTTCATTATTAGGAGCGTCTTGTATTTCTTGTTTAACAACAACACTCCCTTGTTCTGTAGTTTCTTTTCCATCGCTGTCTTGTGTATCATCTCTCTCTGAAGAGGCCCTCGACTGTCTTTCTGAAGTGCTTCTTGATTGACGTTCTGTAATAGTTTTGGCTTGCCTGTCTGAAGGAATCATCTGTTTTTCAGCTTGTGCCTGTCTTTCTGTTTGTGATTGTCTCCTACTAGCGGGTCCGGTAAATTCTTTACCAGCACCTCTTTTTGGTGTTTGTTTGACTGCAACTTTTGTTGGTTTAGGTTTAACGGCTTCTTCAGGAGGATTCTTTGGAGTCTGTTTTGGTGCAATCGGTTCCTTTTTTGGCGTTATCAATTTAGTTTGTATACCTCTAGGTAATTTTGGGAGCTGTCGTTTATCTTTCTCGGTGTCACTGCTGTCTGAACTCTTTCTTGTGTTGCTTATCGGTGGTTCATCGGAATCATGATCAACGTCGGAACCGTTGTTTTCGTTGCTTTTATCAAATTCTTCGTCAAAGTCTGCTTCGTCTTTATCCTCTTCGTTCCCACTGGCCTCGTCTTCGTCGTCGGAAGCTTTGAAATCTTTTAAACCGTTGACTACTTTAAAAGAATTGGTATTATTACCATCAGATTTGAGTTTAAGTTTAATGCCACCCAGTTTCCCTAGTTTTTGCACAGCATCATTCGTTTTATCAGTCTCATTATCCAGTTTTTCTTTCTTAATGGGCGTTGAATTTTTTTTTATCGTAAATCCCAAGCCACTCAATTTGTTCAAGGCTGAATCTGAACTGTGTTTATCAGATTCGACGGGTTTTTTAAGCGAGATGCCAGTTTTTTTCAATATTTGTGATATATCTATCTTTTGGGGCGTTTTTGCCGTGCTTTGCTTATTAGGTAGAGGAACTTCATCCTCATCTGACCAGTTTTCATCTCCAGAGGGCGGCAGGTCTTCGTCGTCTGAAGGCAGCTTGTCTAATATCACTGAAGGGAGCGATATGTGTTTTACTAAATGATTTTCTTGTTCTTCCCAATCAGAAAAGTCTAAATCACAAGTCAAGCAGCGATATTCTTGTTTGGGTTTCTTAACGAGTGCCCCTGATGACTGTAATTTCGCAAGTAACCCAGCAACGTCCGTAGAATATGTTTTTGTATCGTTTTCTTTCTCTTTCTCTTCTTCCGCTTCTTCTTCTGGATAATTTAAATAAAATGACTGATCCTCCCCATCTGAAAATAGAGACGAAAATATCATTAATTTACTATGAAGTTACTACAGAATATTGCGAATTATTATATTTCATACTATGAATCCAGTTACAACTATATAATAATGGGTATAATATAATATAATGGGCAGACCCTGGCTAAAGCTGGGAGGTTGCCAGGAAGAAGAAGACAAATAATGGATATAATATGACTAGACTCGAATTTCAAAATATTTTCTTACGACTAGCATATAAAGTTATTGTTGCATTAAAATAAACTCTTAAGAAAGGGTATGAATATATTATTTAATAAAAAATTTTTTTTCAATGTAAATAGTTTTATTCAAAATAATTATGTTTAAAATGATTCCAAAACATATAATATTTTTTGTAAGAGCTATGTCACGGTCATTGAAACTTTTAAGAATAATATTAAATCAAAAACATCTTAATATGATGACATATCAACAAGATCTTTTAAACATGTCAGGGAGTAGTTAGACAATAATCCCAATAAGTGGATTGGAGGAAGGGGACCCATACCGTTGTCAGTAAGGAGTCCAGACTTGACCCTTGATTTTTATGTATGGGAGCATATGAAAAGTTTGGTGTATAAAGAACCGAACACAATACAATCGATTGAGATTTTAAAGCAAAAAATTATCAACACAGCTAATAAAATAAGAAATAGACTGACGACTGGGGCCTAAGTGACATGAAAAGTGGCATAAGAAAAAGAATGCGTCTATGTGTGCGAAATAGCGGAGGGCATGTAGAAAATCATTTAATGTAAAACATGAATAAACTTAATTTATTATGTATTTGGACTGTTTTATTTTGTTTTCTGACTCAAATACTCAAGCGTTGTTTTATCATAATAGTACTGACGAAAGTAGTAAATTATCAATTATTATTACACGGAGACAACAAAATCTAAGCGCTGGAAAGGGGGGGGGGGGTATAAAATATGTAATAAAAAATTTAAGAAATCGGTCAAGCGTGAGTTGGCTTAATCGAATATCGATTTTTTATTACACGCTGTATATTAGCATCACTTGTATGTTTGTTTGTTTGTTTGTATGTATGTAACTCTCCTTTTCTTTAACACGCTTCCTATGCACTGCTGTGATATGGGTATCAAATGAAAGAGTTTGAGGAGAAGAATATGAAGATAAAAATAATGCAAGAATATCGGGACTATAAAATATTGGGACGGCAAAATATCCAGACCAGACGAAAAAATATCCGGACGACAAAAAGTTTTTCTAAAACTCAAGAGTATAGAATAATCTATCTAATATCTTGGCAGGTTAATTTAATTATATAAATAATAAATAATGGACACAATTATTTAAGTGTTACGTACAGCACGAAAACCTGCCAAGTTCAAATTTAGAAGTATTATCATTTTAGATATTTTTAACCAAGCACCTAGGGAATGGCAAATGTTTACCAGTGGATCATGCTGTTGATGAAGATGATTATGATCGATTTCAAAGTGCATCTAAACGTGGCATTAGATTGGATTTCAACCCTTTTTTAGGCAAACAATTAGCTTATTGGAACTTGGCCCCCTTTTTAACAGGCATGTTTTTGGTGAGATAGTTATTACTTATCCCTCTCGTACCTATTTACATTGGAAGATATCCCGCTTGAACCCATTGCACGACAAAAGGCTTTCGAGTGGCTTAACGTTTGTTGCTCGGGCGTCTTTGTTTAGTTTTTTTTTTTCGAGAATTCTAATAATACCCTATGTTATACCTTATCGGAAAGCTGAAGAGCCCTAGACATTTTTTAGCACATCTGTCAGACTTTTTTAAAGATATCTTACAAAGAAAAATTATTTTTTTAATTTTTTTTTTGTTTTTTACAATTGACTGTTTACTATGACTATTTGGTATAGTTACTGGCAGTTTTGTAGCTTAAAATAATAAAGCAATTAATCTTCTACACAAAAATAGCAAAAAGAATACAAAATTGGGACGCAAAACAAAAATAAAGGGGGCAATCGACAAAAAATCTGTAATTTTTGTAAAATAAATTCAAAGGCCAATAACTTGAGAAGAGTTAGGTTTAGTATATGGGGTTCCATTGTCAAATCGGTTGGGAATGATGGAATGTATCCTCTCTTAAAGGATTTCGGTCGACTTAACCTGTAACTCTGTATAAATCAGCTTTTTAAATTCTTGAAATAAGAAAACAAAACCTTATTAGAATATTAAACAAAAACATATATTGAATGAATTAAAATCTTAAAAGTACCTACTTAGACCATTCTAGTATTCAGTCCTACAATTTTCGAGGTAGCTTTTCTATAATTCTATAATTATTAACTGCTTTACTTTTTATCAGCAGTCATTTATATAACAAAATATACCTATCTTAGCAGAAAATAAACTAAATTCCGTCTTATTAAATATTAAACAACAAAACAGAACATTTTTTGATTTTAGCCCTACAACAATATAAGTTACATTATTAAAATTTTAAAACAAAATAATCAATCAAAAATTTGGATCAACAACCATATTTTAACTAGTTTTTACTTAATGAAAACAATCAGACCAGACCATGAATTAATCAGGCAGACCCTAGCTAAAGCTGGGAAATTGCTAGGAAGAAGAAGAAAACAAACATAACTTTAACTACATAAAATAAAAAGCAATTATTGCACTCAAAATTAGGTACACTATTTGTCTATCTAGCTATTGAAGCCTTTTTCTCAGCCTCTTGCCGTTTTACTTCTCAGTCTTATTGTATTTATCATTTTTTCCAATACCTTTTAGAATATCTTCCCATTTTAAAAGTAATTTATAAAAATCAGTGCAGGTGTATTCTTGGAAATTTAATTTAATTTGTTGGTTGATTGTTGTGTGCAAGCATAGTGCGTGGATTTATTTAATTTTATAACTCGGTCTACAAATGAAATCTTCCCGGGACGCTCCCCAAATGCCTTCTAAACTAGGACAAATCCGGGGAAACCATAACGGATTGCAACTCTGTATTAAGGGAAAATGATTCATCTTTTATAATTATGTTTTCGTCAAATTTTCATTATTTTTAGGATGTATTCTGCTATTTGGGCTGAGAAAATCCAACGAACCAAAAACCATGAAAATTGGTCTAGCCAATCTCGAGTTATGTGTTGTAACAAACACAACTTTCTTTTATATATAATATAGATAAAAATATTATTATTATAACACATATATTTACATAAAGGAACATGCAAACAGATAATTTTTTTTACATTAAATATTACTTAAATTCTAATCAGATGAAACAGTCAACTTACTATTATAAATAAAGAATAAGTGAAAAGCATTAATATATTAAAGAATAACAAAAGTAATACTTTTATATGTTCAGAAAATAAATTAAATATTTCATAAAATAATATAATTCATACAAAAAGAAAAATATTAAATCTATAAATGTGTGACTATCTTATATTTTAAAACATAATTATATGTATTCTTTTTAAATTGAATTTGACAATAAGGTTCTTTTATGTTTATTCAAATTATTATTAATAAAAATATTTTTCTACATTTCGTTTATAGTAATGATAATTGTAATTATTTAGGGTATTTGGTTATAAATGTCAACAATTTCATAAAATTGTTAAGGATTGTTCTATGAGAGAAAAAAAATCAACAAATAAAAATAAAATAAAAACAAACCTGATTCATCATTTGGAGGTGATGAAGGATATTCATTTTCAATCTTTGTTGTCATGATTAACCTGTAAACAAGCCAACTTATTGCTATACCAAATAAAAATAACGCATTTACTTTGTTTACATGACTTTTACTTATAAAACTCAAATTGAACAAAATCAAATTGAAATAATAATAAAATGTAACGTATTCTTTATTCCTTTAATCTTTTTGTTATTTATTTGTGTTTATAAAGCGAGTATTATGTGGTTCTTTTACTTCGTAGCGGGACATAAAATGAATTTATGAAAAGATGCACAAGTGTACAACTAAATACAACCAAAACATTCTAATAGAACATTCGTGGACAACAATTAGATTGAAACATGCTTTTATAATAATACAATATACTCACGATCATCGTATTATATGATACAAAATCATTTATTAATTGACCATAATAATGACCACTGTGATAGAAGCCTTCTATAGTCAAAAGTCAATACACAATCCGACCACAGATATCATATAAATAACAATAAATTGAAACCAAAACACTTTATCGCTTCACTCGACTTCCGAAAACTTATGTTAATAAATGAAAGAATCCGGTTTTTATTGAAGTTCAGTCACAGAACGTCTAACGAAAATACAAGATGGCCGACCAAATAAACGCTGAGGCGACACCGCTGAGTCGGTTTAATCACACGCGGTTATTATCATCATTTTATCAATAAAAATTATTACAGACTGGACTCATTTTGTTTGAAACGAAAACAGTCGAGCATTATTTGAATAATTATGCTTTTTGGTGTCGGTCTCGGCTTTAGCTTCGATCGACCGCACTTCAAACTAGGTTGAGCGCTGAGCAAGTGAGCAGAGTATATACAAATAAAATTCTGTTCCGTTCACTCACAAGCGAGCACGCACAGAACGAAGTACGAACACAGATGCCATTGCCAGACTGGCGCATTGCCAGTGTTGGCCGCCTGGCAGAATCCTAGATAGGTAGACCGTACGCTGTCTCTGTCGCACATCATTAATAGCAATTTATCCATCTCTTTCTATACTTTCTATTTATGACGCCATTTACGACGAAGTCTCCAAAGTTGGCTGTACATTTATTATTGGAACGGATCTTTTTATGTTCGTGATAACCTTGCTTGCTCGGTTTAGGACAGACTACGTTTGTATAAGAAGAATAATAATTATGTAGAATGAATGCTCATATATTTCACTGAGCGTCTGTTAATCAATGTTTTAAATGCCTGATGAAATAAATGATTTACTTAAACGTTAACGAATTAAAGTACGTTTTTTTTACATTACCTATTTTGTATGAAGACTAAAGAGAAACAATTTTAATTGTTTTGCTTATTTGATATCTTTTTGTAAGCATGTGTGCATCATGCATGTATGTATAATGTATATAGAAACTAAAATTTTAATTGTTTTGCTTATTTGATATCTTTTTGTAAGCATGTGTGCATCATGCATGTATGCATAATGTATATTGATTATATGCATATCGGTTTCCAAAAAATATGAAAATAAAGAAAAGACTATTTTACATACAAAATTCTTAAAATATTTTTATCTCAATATATATTTTTTAATAAGTGTTCAGAATATGATACAGAAATAACAAATATATTCCTCCAGCTTAATCATATTCATCATGATAAAATTATATGGATAGATAAGTCTACGTATAGCATTACAGTTTACTGATAAAATAGGGTTTGTGCCTTGCGCAGTGAGACTGAGCAATTCCAAACCGGTTTCGACCGCTTTTAGTCGAGGTTTAGTAACCTTGTGTATATATGACGCACCGACGATTCTAAGAATAACAATTTTCAGAATTAATGATATTATGAACATGTTTATTATGATCAATTATTCATGTTTTTATTTTTTATATTACGTTGGTTTATATCCTTGTTGTAATATCAAATTTTATTTCAATATGTAGTTATTTTTAATTTAAGCTTGATAAAGTTTTTTTATACTAAAACTGTGTCCGATAATTTTATTAGCGTAATTGAACATTGTTTATACATGATAACACACAAGTTCTTGTTTATATTTTAACTAATAAAACACCCATTTAATCTGTTGCTGTGCAATTAAAAAACGATAAAGAAGTATAATGATTTATCAAAAAAAAAAGATGTAGGACGAGAAACCGTGAAGTGAAACAGTGAAGTAACCTTTCTTTCTTCACTAACATATTACTGTAGAAATTAATATTGTATTTATAAACGCTGGTTTGCTACGCTTTTTATTGTAGGAACGTATTGTGCGATACGTATTGATTGCAAGGAGTAGAATAGAGAAGCACGAAGAAAAGTAAGAGACCGTGAAGTTATGAGGTTTATAAAAAACAAATTTAGTTTAAACCTAAAATCTTAAAGTGATAATGAATGTTTCTCTAAAATTTAAGCGAAAGAAAGAGACTGTTCTCAATCAAACTGTAAGTCAGAATTGGTTTATTAAAAAAAGGGAACTTCTAATTCGAATAATTTGGGCACTAAAGTCTACACCTACTACTACATTTACGTCTTTTGCCAAAATCTCGACAAGTTCTCAAATGTAAGCATAGATTTATATATAACTACATTTTTTACGATTTATGTATATGTATTAGTTTTGATATTTTATGTGACGTCCGGATTTGGTGTTTTAAATTTAAGGTAGGTAATGCCATAAGAGGTAATGCCATACCTAAATGTAGGTTTGGCATAGGGGGGCCACATGTTGGTCGGCAGTTGGTTCAAAAATTAATTTCAAGAATAGTATAATAAGAATAATAATTAAAAAAAAAACACTAAGTACAAAATAATTCAGAAGAATGGTGACAAGGTGACAGAGACGGTAAAAGAATGCTGATGATTTCACCAGGGTCGTATTTCAATTCTTAGGCACTAATTAATATTTGTACAACAAGACCAAGATAAACAAAATAAAACAATAACTCATCTGTACCCGGATAAAATAGTATCTCAGAAGGTGGCCTAAAACCAAGCATTAGTAAACAACATAAACAAACCACATAACCAGACAAAGTCAATACAATCAATAACTCAAATACTAACCAAATGCCCTTAAAGATGCAATATTCAACCATTTTTAACTGAGCAACAAAAACCTTCTTCCAATCCGGCCGGTAACTGGGAAGATAGAAACTAAAATCCTCAAAAGAATGTTAATTTTCTTCAATACAAAGTAATGAACCACAATCCCTAGAACTAATCCGATTATACTTAAAAGAATGAGGACAAGTTCTACATACAAAGTATTTTAAAACGTCAGAACATTATCTACTTAGTACTTACTTACGCATGCTTAATCACACTTAACTAAGCACTCATTTAGTCTAATACGATATAATTGGATTGTATCTCTTAAGGAGGAAAGGTATGCTAAGAGAAGAATAAAATAATTTCATACAATGTCACACGAGGCACACAATTGGCAACAAGGGAGTCAGTTTCATAATAAATAAAATTCCCAAGAACTGGATTGAAAGTTTCAAGGATTGCCCATGTCAATTAACAAAATATAGGCATTTAGTGAAACAGCGTGTGGAGAAGAGATTAACGCCTTCTAGTTCCGTCATTTGGTGAAAAACAAGGGGGTGACCTGGAAAGGTTTATGGAATTTATGGATTTACAGATTTTGGTATGCTCTTTTCGTATTTCAACTTTATCAACTAGTATCCTCGCCGCTCACGCAGCCATATAATAAAATGGCCCCTTAATACATAAATTGGAGGATATTTTTTCTAGTTTAACTTTGTAAATTGCGTCGGAAAGGAGGTATTCCTAAAAAACCGTTTTTAAGGGCCATTTTTTCAATATTGCGGCACGAGTGGCGGGGGTACGGGGTGGCAACAGTTGAATTTCGAAAAGAGCATACCAAAATCTGTAAATCCATAAATTTTCAAAACTCCCCGAAAACTTTCCAAGTAAAATTACCAAATGACTAGACAACTAAAAAAACAAGGGGTGGCAACGCATCCGCAACATGTCTATCCGCCCATCAAGAAGCTATTTGCTCGTTTGCCACCTTTCACATAAAATTAACTATAATAAATCAAAAATTTAATAAAGCCACCGACCAAATTAGAAATATGAAGAGAATCAGTCTAGACAAATTCAACGAGCCCAAAGTCGATGGGTTTACTAAAAGGCAGTTCAGCGTTATGTCTCCTATCTTCGAGCCCTAACAGCAGGTCAGCTTAGTGGTTCCAGAAGACATTAGTGTTTCAAATTCATATAATTGCAAGCAAACTGTGCGTGTAACATTACTATCACAACTTATAAACGACCTCATGACCTTGAAGACCTGAATCGATTTCCACCAAACATAACTAAGAACATTCTCGACGGATATACCTTTCAAACAAAAAAATCGCTTCATCCGTTTGAGAGCTACGTTGCCTCAGACAGACACATACACATATGACAATCCGTCATTTTGCGACGGGGGTTAAAAAAAGATTAACTGAAAAAAGACATGATTGAACATCAATGACAAGTATATCCCACCTACGCAATGCAGATGACTTACTTCTGCTGACAGAATCTAGCAAGCAATAACAAAACACTAAGAATGTAAGACTAGAAATGAATCTTCCCGAAATAATTGTTATGATAAATAGTACACAGAAGAATATCAGTGCAAAATAAAATTCTGATATATGCAAACAAATACAAATACATACTATTGAAAACAAGTTAGCTGCAATAGAAAACAAAACTAGCTAGAAGAAGAACGAAAACTATAAAATCATTTGAATAAATACTGGTCCCTAAAAAAGATATTCAAAAGTAACATGTCAATAAATATCAAAACTGAAGTCTTCATGCCTCCTACTTTAAATACCCTACATACTTCAGACTTGTAAATTTACGTCCAAATTAAATAGCAAAATCATCACCTGCTAACTTAAAATAGAACAAAGTATGTTGAAGATTAAAAAGATGCAAAAATTCGTCACATAAAAATTAAACCACCAGAATGACAGCCCAAATGTGTGGTAAAAAACTGAAATGAAAATGAGCTGGACACATAGCCAAGCTAAAGAGCAGCACATGGACAAACAGGGTTACAGTGATGAAGGTTCCAATATGCAAACGTCTCAAAGACAGATCCTCATAAGGCTGGCAGACGAGCTGCTAAAATGACTGGTAGATGCTAATTGCTAAAAATAAAAGATGGTTGACGTATAATATTCTTTAGACTTTAGAGGTACTCTCACTCATGGGCTCATGCAAACAAACTCTGATATCATTTTCTTTTTTCTCGAAAATACATAATATGTATATTACTTTTTTTTAGGAAATAAAAGGCTTATAATTATGACTATATTCCGTGACACTTAAGCTGTACTTTGCATTTGTGTGAGTGAAAGTAAAAGTAGAGTTGGACAGAAAACTTTTAGAATTAAATTGTAAATAGATACATAACATTAGTGCGAGAGCTATTCTAGATTAAAAATAAAATAATCAAAACTTATAAAAGGCCAGATGTAAATATGTATTATGATAAAAAAACTATACAAATGATGCTTCATATTGCATTTTCAACACTTTTATAATGTCCATCTTCATTAACTTCATCTGATGTGTTCTTTAAATTAATAAAAAATTGTTCTATTATATTATCAAGAGAAGCGTCGTTATCACGAAACTTTAACCTTCTTTTTTTTCATGGTCACATTACATATAAATTAATATAAATAATATTTACTTTTTCTAAATATTACATAATATTAATTATCGTAACGCTGCTATCAGTAAAAGGTTAAAGTGCGATAGTTGCGGGTCGGGAAAAGCAGTTTAAACCGGTGCAAACCCAAAAATGTATGTGGAACGCACAAATTAGACATCACGCCTACACTAGCAGTGTGCACTCACATAAACGCAAAGCTCAGCTTACGTCTGGCGCGCTATACATAGGTAGTTTGTTTAATTGTTTCTGAAGTGTCGAAGTGATTTCAAACGTTTTTTAATATTAATTTTATTTTAGACGACGCCATTCTGATTACGTTATCTGACGCGTTGGGTTCTATAGACCACTTATCAACCACTTACTTTTTTGAAATTTAAATTTACACATATATTTTTTGTATCCTGGATTTTACGTCATCTGAAAAGATTCTTCAGAACAAAGACATGAAGATGATAAAAGTTTAAAATTATAATTCCTGTCATTAAGTGTAGTTTAAAATTCGGATATTTAATTTGATCTATATATACAATATTTTATTCCCTATTCATGGATATAGGAATAAATGAGCCGTCAGCCGATACGTTTCTATTCCAGAATCTCATTTATAATCATTATTGTACACAACACTTTTGTGTACAGTTGGAAAATATTCAGAATTGTTCGACACTATGTTTTAAATACACATAGTTAATATCATTCGTAGATATTAGAATCACAAGAAGTGTGGCCTTGAATTCGACATTCTTCACCGTTCCCGCAGTTATTGATCAACGCGTTGTGTTCCTTATGAAATCTAGAGCGCAAGTGATTTCATAGTTCTTTCAATATTCACATAAATTATATATTACATAAGATATTATAATCAAACATAAGTTTTTAACATAATTACGTAGGGTGTCAACCAGAGGTTCCAGGAAAACTACAGAACTTACTTATATATTATGTTTATTATAATAATAATTACATATTTAAACTTATAACCTAAACTTCTTTTATCTAAGCGCACGGTAGTGCGCCGGCCAAGTTCCACAGGCCGCGGGCATGCCGTGCACTATTTACACGATTATATAAGATACATAGAAGAAGTATAAATATAAGATACATGGAATGAGTTTAGAATTACAAAACAAGTGGTAAGACGTAGGATTTTTTTTCATCCTATTAGCACTAAAACGGTGCACCTTCATTCATGATTGGTCGCCAGCATTGCTAAAATTCTATCTAAATGCTTACCAGATGACTCTCCCAGATCAGAGTAATTTAGTAATATGGGGTAAAGGTAGGTACAGAAAAAATTTGCTATATCTGTGGAAAGGCAGTTGGAACTGCTAAGCATTTGCTACTGTGATGTAAGGCACTCCTGGACAGCGGTCAATATTCGCGCCGTCACGATAGTGTTCAGGAAATCATATGTGAAGCGGTTAGTTTTTCGGTAGCCAGAGCGCAAAGGGTAATAACCAAAAACGAGCGATCAGTAGGTTTTGTGAGAGAAGGCAATAGGGCTATAAAATCAAATGTCAAGCCTTACTCTATCCTTAAAGCTGCTTCGGATTGGACTATAATGATGGATACGTATGAGAAATAATACAAAATCCCCGAGCATATCTGTGCCTCGGCATCCAGACCTGACATCTTTATGTATGTGCGAATTTTAAAGCGCGTTGTAATGATAGAGCTTACGGTTCCTTGGGAAACCAACATCCCCAAAGACGCCACGATCAAGGTCAATAAATATTACGAGCTCACTAACGAACTCACTCGAAATAGGTTCGTCGTTGATTTGTACGCGCTAGAAGTGGGAGCGAGAGGTGTAACAGCTAAGTCTCTCTACAACCTACTAAAGAGAACTGTCCAGAACTCATATTAATTCATTTTTGAAATGTACTTCGAAGGCAGCCCTAGTAGGTTATTTTCAAATTTGGTTAGGTAGAGAGAGGGGCTTGGACAGTGGAGTTTACCGTTTAATGCGCTTTAGATAAGGGCTCCTTAAACCTACAACTGGCTCGCAAGTCCCAGGCGCTGTTGAAGCTCCTCTCCCTGCAACGCGATGGACCCGGAACCCGCACGGTGAATACATGGAATGCTGAGAGGTTTCGTCTCTAAGACTAAGTACATTATTGCCCCGATGTTAGGATAGCAATGCAATTCCATTGTTGTGATTTATCAGGAATCTTCTGGTTCACACGGCTTGGTGTTCGTTCCGCGGAGTCAGCGGCGTCACTCGTTATATGATATTTTATCCATACAAAGATGTTGCCCCAGCGATGTTCATTTATTTTTTAATGTGTAACAACGTTCCAAATAGTTTTGTGGTCATGTTACTACGTTCAATGTGATCATACAGCAATCAAGAACATAAACATAGCCGTTCACAGTTTGTTCTCGATCCAATTTCGGTCTGGTGAAGTCGTATCATACTCAAATAAAATAAAAGTTAATATGTATAACATAAATATTAATAAACTTCTAAGTAAAGTTAACCAAAAGTTATGTAATTAATTACGCATCGTGTGAACACCCTACAGTTTAGGTATACACACACACTCACACATACGCGTGCGGCGGCGTAGTGTTGTATCAGCACGCCGCGGCACGCGTCCACACTTGGAACACTTGGAACGTGTCAACACTTTATTTATTTATACGGAAATTTTGTCAAAAATTAAGTGCCTATTTTTTTTACATAATTCGAATGAGAATCATGTACCGAGTATTCTCCTTAAATATTGATAGTAATTCACCAGTCACCCTGTATATAAAAGAAAGTCGTGTTAGTTACTCCACTTATAACTCAAGAACGGCTGAACCGATTTAGCTGAAAATTGGCAGGGAGGTAGTTTAGAGCCAGGAAATTGCAATAGGATACTTTTTATCCCGTTCGACAGCATTCCCGTGGGACTTGACATGAAACGTCAATCACTATAAAACGTGGAATAACGAAACACAATTGACGGCTTCATTAAGTACTGTTGTGAAATGGAATAAAAATTTTCCTTTTCAAATATAAAACAAAAAAAAATTCTTCATATTTTAATCTCCAAACAAAATGTTATATAAAAGCCTTCTGGTGGCGAAACGGAGTTCGCCGGGTTTACTAGTTTTTCATAAAACTTTTCGACCGAAATATTTGCAATTATGTATTGCTCTTCTTATTAATGAAAAAGATAACAATGTCAAGTAAACTACAATACTTTAACTACAATATAATTCAAATACAATTAAAAATAGTTTAAAGTACAATATACTTAAAGTATTGAAATTAATTGCATTAATGTGCTAATAGCAGACTGAACCCGAAGACCGAAATAATATTCGAACTAAAGGTACATGTCGTGACAAGTTCAATCTCGCTCAAACACAATTTCTTTGAACCTGATCGTGATTAGACTGGGATTCGATCGTAACTTGACTGTGACTGTATGAATGCACACATATATTTTTTACTTTATAATGCATATGTTATCAAACCAAGATTGGACCGAGAACAAACTGTGAACGGCTTTACAGTGAGGATTGGCCCTAAATCTATAACTCTATATCAATTAATGACATGCAAAACAATTTTATATGAATTGTATAGATGGCGCTCTATTTAAATGACAAACAATTTACAAACATGCAGTTCTCATAACCAATTCTGTGTAACTAAAGTGGAGCCCCGGTAATCCGGCCCCTAGATAATCCATCTATAACAAACATGTATTCGCTAATTCAATCTTGAAAAAGTTTCAACTTGTACAAGCCATGACTAATGTGCTCAATGCATTGTTTTGATTCTGATCAGTGTTGCCAGATGAGGCTATTTAGCGCCGAGAGGGCTATCGCCCTTTGCGATAATATTTTATCCGCTGGCTACAGGTAGCCAATTTGGCTATATTAACTTTTAAATAAATATTTAGTTAAATGTCATTATTATGGAGAAATAAAGAACTTTTACAGCAATAATCATTTCAATAGTTTTTATGAACATGTTATATTATGGATTTTAAAACGTTAACTTTCTCGCAATATCAATTTATGTCAAAACCGAGTACTAGTGGCGTCAAGCAAAAGTGGTGTTTGGCGCCTTTATTATATTTACATGTAAATATATTAAAATCAATAGAATTGAATTATAATAAATTGTTTTACCTTTATATTATTAGTATTAGATAAAAAATATACAGTATATATCTCGTATGTTTGCATTTAATTTTAATTGTTTTGTTTTAGATCTACTAACAAAATACCTAATAGTGACTTCTGTCGATGGTGTTAAATTTTATTACATGCAGCATGCCTAATGTGTTGGTTCCATGGTATGTTACTGTGTGTTGAAAGAAGACTGACTTTCCTTTATTTGTGCTGATTGTTACTTTTAATAGTGCTTGTATTTTGGTCACTGTATTTTTCAAAATATAAAAATGGGTGTTGATAAACACTACCGAGTTGAGTGGGAAAAAGAAGACATGTTCAAAGGTTTGTAAATATTAATATAACATTATCAATTTTTCTATATATATTTATGTTAAAAATTCTATAGAGTGACAAGTAATACTATCTTTTTATTATTGCTTATAGTACATTTAATAATTAAATATAAATATTTTTGATTTTGAATAAAAGTTGTATTAAATTTTTTAACAGGATGGCTTTGTAAAGCACCAGAGGATTTGATATCATCAGGCCACGGAGAGGCATACTGTAAATGGTGTAAAGTGAGTTTATGTGCTCAGAAGCATGATTTAAAAGTTCATTGCAGCAGGAAAATTCATCAAATGCAATACAAGGCAAAAAACTTAGATAGTGGAGAACAAGAAAATTTAACTGATACAGGTAAATTATTTTATATGTACCTCGAATAAAATAAAAAAAAATTATGAACCTTTGAGATGCAATGGGAAACCAAAGTTAAAAAGAATTTGCTTCATTTGTAATTAGAATTCTTTGTTGACCAATTACAATGCTGATTATGAGAGAATATTTGGTGTGATGTATAGTGTAATTAATATCAAACTCGGAATTCAAATGCCGTTGGCCATGCTCATTGCATTGATTCATATCAGAATTCACATGAGTGTGTATGGATATTGATAAAAAAATTATACACCTATAAAATACATGCTTCACCTTTTAACAAGTAAAATTTATGTAACCTCAATTAACTGATTCCAAAGATCTAATACTAGTGATTGAGTCACTCAACTTGATTGAGGCGTGTGAAATACATGCTAAATATATTTGTGATAATACTAAATTACTAATTAGGTAATATACCTTGTTTTATAATTTAAAAAAAATAATTATATCAAAGATTTATATAAAAAATATTTAATAATGTAAAAAAACTTAAATTCTATTATTTTGTAATATTTATTAACACAATATATGATAATACTTGGTGTTAGTTATAAGAAAAAGTTCAAATCATAAACCAATAAAAATTATTTACATTTGTACTTCAATAATTGAATTTTATTTCTGTTCAAAATATATTATTATTGTTTATTAATAGTACAAATTATATAAATATTCAACTTTCCCACCTTAATTACCTGTATGCCATGAATTCAGAAAAATATATTCTTGTATCTATACTTTGTCAAGCTATGTTTTTTTTTTAATTTTGACCCAGAAATATAAAAGGTACTTATTCTATTATAATTGAATAAAATTTAAAACCGAAAATATGCAAATAATATCTTGTTATTTCTGTTTAAAGATTTAGTTTATAATTTAAAGTTCATATGAGTGGAAGTGAGTCATTGATAATAATTAATTAATGTAAGTTAAAGATTATTATAGAAAAGTTTTATTTTATAGTATCTTTAGTTCTGATTCTGATGACGAACTTTTTGAATGCTGTTTGGATCTTGGAGGTGAAGTGTATTTATTTATTAAGTTTCAATGTTTTTTTTGCCGAAAGAGAGGTTTTGTGTTAATATCTCACTTCTCAGTATTAGAAAACTAGTGTTGCTCAAAATCGGATTTTGTTTTGCAGTCTTGGTCTTGTTCTTGCATTTTTGCAAGACCAAGACTTCTGATCTTGGTCTTGCTAAAATTTGGCCTGCCTGCAAGCCTGCGAGACTCTTGCGTCTTGCAGTAAGGACTGATTGGTAGAATAAGAGTTCAACTGTTATGAGACGTGCACTCTTATGAGACGTGATAATATATATGTTGTACTAGAAGACCCGGCGAACTTCGTATCGTCCTATAATCAAGAAATACCTGTTACGTTTTTTTATTCATATTTTTGGAGTTTACCTTTAAGCCATAAATCTCCGTGTTTTGAAGTGCGTCAGAATGAATGACATATTAGTTAGTTGTCAAATCTAATGTAAAAAAAAGTTTGTATCAACAACTACTAATAAATTAAAAATTAATTAAAAAATCATTGTCCAGCGGAAAAAATTGTGAATCTTAACCATTTCCAGATCCCCTTGAACACACACAGAAAAATTCATCAAAATCGGTCCAGTCATTTGAGAGAAGTTCAGTGACATACACAGTCACAGAAGAATTATATATATAAAGATATATATTTTTTTATTTAACTTATACGAATTACAATCACGGTATAATAAACGTACTTCATCATCAGCCTATCAGAGCCCACTGCTCAGTAAAGACCTCTCTAACATGGAGAAGGTTTGAGCATAAATCACCATGCTTGCTCAAGACGGGTTGGCGATTACAAACTTATAATTTGAAATTATAAGTCCAGGTTTCCTCACGATGTTTTCCTTCACCGCCTGTCAGTGGCGTCTAAATACTCCTAGAAAGTAGGTACATATGAGTCGGAAAAATCACCTTGATACTTGCCAGGATCGAACCCGCGCCCTCATACATAAGAGGCGGGTCTTTAACCACTAGACCACCACGACTTTTAACCAATTTACATAGAGACAGAAAATATCCATTAAAAAATGAGTACATCCCTAGTTTTGCCCATCGGCATTGTGTGTGATAGTAAGCGGTGCCTTGTCGGCATCATCAAAGGTCGGGTGCTGAACTCTCAAAGAAATTTTTTTAGCTTTTCGGAAGTACAAGGTCAAGATACACGTGCGGCGACTTCTTTTGCGCATACAAAGAATCGTCACTTGACACTGTTTGATTCCCGCTACAGAGTACAACTTTTCCAAAGAATAAAATAAGTTATCGGGTTCTTAGAATGGACACTTATACATTATGCTGATATGTGTTGTGTGGTATTAAAACACAAAGTGCTTAATTATTTGCATACCCATTGCGTCAATAAATTTTGTAGACCCTTTAACACACTTCTAACGTAAAAATTTCTATAATAGTAATCGAACAATACAAAAAACGTGCTATAAGATTTATGTAAAGTTTAGGAGCCCTAATATAATAATATGAGAGAACTGTTTAAATAAATAAATTAATATATTGACTGTTTCATCACAATTTTTTGCGAATATTCATTTACAAGTAAAAATATATGTATAAATATATAAAAGGAATAAACTCCAGTCAGTGGACCGGACAGGCGTTATTTAAATTATATACTTATCCTATTTAATACAAGAAATAGACACATTGAAAACAAACGAAAACTTAAAGATAATACTAGTACCTACATAGAAATTTTAAGAAGAAAATATGTAGGAAGACCTGAAATACTGATATAATATAAATTATTATAAGTGCTTTTACGTTGAAAAATATTACTTTAAATAATATAGTTAATATAGTTTTACGACACTTAATAGAAATATCGAATTTAAAAAAAAAGGAAAAATTCAAAAGTTAAAGTTACAAATTAATTTAAAATCTAGCTTTTAATAATAATTAATCAGTTTATTTAAAATATTCATTATTATTGAAGCTACATATGAGCGAAATACAGGACACTATAATGCCCTGCGTCTGTACGCCCGCGCGGCATGGTTTGATATGTCAAAGCGGCGCAATACAAAGCGGCAGTATTCACGCAAAATGGACTATAAAAAGACGTATTTATTTTAATTCCAATCATTCCCAATCTAGCTTTGCTTCGAATCTAACGTAATAATTGTTTTTACTCTAATCCTTATGGTTCTTTTCAAACTTTCAGGTTTACAATTGGACATGAGTGACGAAGAATCAAATGGCTCTAGTCGGAGTAGTGAGAGTACACCTAAAAGATCTAAAAGCAAATTTGAAGAGTTTTTCGAAATAATACATGCATCCCAGATTGCTTACTGTAAATTGTGCCGACATAAAAAGGTTAAAATAAAAATGAAAAACAGAAATACTTCAGGTCTAAGGAAGCATCTTACATCTTATCATAAAGAAGAATCACAAATATTTCTTTCTGGGAAACCAAAAATAAGTAGAAATTTCATAGGCATTTTAACAAGAGCTGAAAAGAGTGCACAGGCAAGAAAAAATATACTTATTAGTTACTAGCTTTTGCCGCGTCTCCGTCCGCGTGTAACAGTGACTTCCGGCAGATTTTTGGTTCTTCCCACATAGTTCCCGTTCTTGTGGGGTTTTCGGAATGGTCGAGTTCTCGTAGAATTTTCAGGATAAAACCTATGTTTTTTTTATTCACAATGAAGTACTCTTAACCAACATCATATTTATTTGTTTATTTGAATAAAGATTAATATTATTATGTTGATACAACTTAAATTATTTCGACCAAATTAGGTACCATAAAAACGGCTTTTGTGAGTTAATCTTAAAAGATAGACATATACTGTCTCGGAGTGTTTTTTAGATCATTAAAAGAGCTATTATTCTTTGATACATATTTTTTGTGTATCTTGAACCGTTTTCACGGCGCACGCAACGGAAGGCTTCAAAGATGAAATAATTTCTCCCGTTTTTTACACATTTACCACTATATCTTTGCTCCTATTGGCCGTAGCGTGATGTTATATAGCCTAAAGCCTTCCTCGATAACTGGACTATCCAACACAAAAAGAATTATTCAATTCGAACCAGTAGTTTCGGAGATTAGCGCTTTCAAACAAACAAACAAACAAACTCTTCAGCTTTATAATATTAGTATAGATTACACGATATAACGTATTATGTAACTAGAGGTCCGCCCCTGCTTCGCACGGGTGGATAGTTATTTTTTAAAATATTTGGAAATAAACATAGATGATTAACGATAAACGTAAAATAAATTTTGTGCACGCCCCTCCACGTACTATAGTCAGTAATCTACTTGTATTGAAATAGTCTTGAATAAGAATTTTATTATTTATATAAAGATTAATACGAAGTTGCGAATTAAGTGCCGTATTTTAACCCTCTTTGGGAATGCCATTAATCAGTGATGTCTAAATACTCTTAGAAAGTACATATAGCTCCGAAAAATCACATTGATATTTGCCAGAGCCAGGATCGAACCCGCGCCCTCGTGCATGAGAGGCGGGCCTTTTAAGCACTAGGCCACCACTGACTTATCGAATATATTGTGCAATATTATTGTACATAAATGTATGGGTCTGCCTTAAGTAATGTAGTGTTAAGAAAAACAATGTTTTTATGTTCGGTCTTTAGAAAACTCAGACTATAGTTTTACGGCTTGTTTGATTTTGTGATATTTGACAACAATTAAAATTGACAATTCAACTACTGTCATTATTTTGTAAAGTTATATTGAAGCACTTCAATCTTTATTGACCAATTTTCTATCAAATAAATTTGATACATATACCTTGGAAATAAAGTTAAAAACATGAATAAAATGGATATAATAAATGCAAAAAGTAAAGAACAGAGTTTCACTGTCGACTTTATTCGTGTCTATAGAAGATGTAAAAAAGAAATTAAACTCACTAAGAATTAACTACCGTAAGGAGCTTAGGAAATACTTAAAAAATAATAAATACTTACCATCGTTGTGGTATTTCGGAGAAATGTGTTTTTTAGATAATATTGATGTTTCACGAGACTTAAGTTCTTTCGAGAATACAAGCCTAATAGAATATGTTGGTAAAGATGAAAAATGTTTTTTAAGTTTCAATACATTTTAATTAGTTATAATATTGAGGCTTAGCTAGACGAATTTTATTACACTATTCTAAGTAGATATTAATAAATAATTGTTTCCATTTAGTTTTAATTTTATTAATATGCAAAAATTTACAATAATTTCCTCTATTTTTAGGATAGCAACAAAATTTATATTTCGGACAAACATAAATCACAAGAATTACCCAAAAATCCTAAAAGATATTCATGTGACGAAGACCAGCAAGCACAAAATGTTATAGTGGAAAATTTTAAACAATTACAACACAAACAACGTGAAAAATTTTCATCATCAAATAATGTTGTACACCTTACGTCTATAAGTGATGATTATCAAAAGAAAGATGAACATTATTACTGGGTTATGGCTTGTGCGTCGGATTTGAGAAATATGGAGAAGACACAACAGATATACGCGAAGAAGGCCATCGCTGAAATTATAATGGAAGGACAATTAGGAACTCTGGATCGTGATTCGGTTAGAATAAATAAACGTTTGGATAATGATTCTATTGTGTTGAAAATAGGTTCACCGCTGCCTGAATATGAAAGGGATGGTTTACAAAATGATCAGGATTGATGTAAGCTTGAATTTATGTACAAATTAGGATTATTGAACTATATGTAAGATGAGTCGCCTGAAACAAACATTAATTTAAGTTTTATCAATAAATAAAACTATATGACAAGATATGGGTAGTAAATTTTGTCTTCCATTTATTTAAAAACCTTCTTAGTTAACTTTTATTGGGTAGTTTTTATCGAAAAAAAAATATATATCTGCTAGATTTCTTAATATTTTTAATTCTTTCCTTGTATATAATCATGAATTCAATGCAATATGCTCCAAGTATAATGTTTCATATTCCTTGTAAGTTTTTCCATCGACCGTCCTATTGTTAGAGATGAACTTCTTCAAGTTCGATTCAGACCAGAACAGCAGATCCTCGCGACTTGAATCCAATGTTTTGTTTATTTTTGCCAACAAATTCGAATTTTCTGATATGGTCTTCTTTATTTTGTCAGATACAATTTCTTCTTGCGTTATTTTTGATTTTATATCTGTAATATATTATATTAAATAAAGGAAATGAATAGAAAATTTATTAAATTTCTCTCTCATATACATATTTGTATGTATTGTAGTTGATAATTGATGAATAGTGAAGTAAAATTGTAGTTTGGCGAAATTATACACCTTGATAAATTATACAAATATAAGCTAACAAAACTCAAATTTATCTTATGAATATTCTATAAGCATGAGACTTATAAATAGTAAAAACCAATTATTTTTAAATAACTACATATATATAAAAAATTTATATGTTAAATTCTAAAAAATATTTAATATATGATATTAAAAATATCTCACCTATATTTAAAGCTGATTCTTCATTAACATTACAATCTTTAATAAGACTCTGTACTAAGTTTATTTCATGTACATCATCAATCAACTGTTTGAAAGCTCGTCCGGGAAGTAATGATGGGCAAAGAATAGTTTGGTCACTGACAGACATCTCATTAACCAACTTTGAATATAAAACTTTAATAGTTTCAAACAACCAGATCTTCTCACCGCTGTAATAAATTAATTGATTAGTTATCAACTATATTATTTTATCTCTACTAATATTATAAATGCGAAAGTAACTCTGTATGTCTGTGCGTCTGTTACGCGTTCACGCCTAAACCACTGAAATGATTTTAATGAAATTTGGTACAGATATAGAGTTGACCTCGAGAAAGAACATAGAATAGTTTTTATCCCAGACTTTTGAAAGTTTCTCTTGGAAACGCGATATAACCGAACTCCACGCGGGTGAAGCTGCGGGCGGAAAGCTAGTAATTAAATGAATATTCATCTTACTTGTCCAATACGAGTTTCTTGTTGTTCTCCAAATTGAACTTTTTCAAGTATATCTTTAATTCATCCACAAATCTTGGACTTGAATCTGAAAGTTGTTTTTCTTTTATTATATACATTATACATATATAAAATATTTATTACATTTTACTGTATGCACATTTTGGTTGTCTACATGATTTTGATGTAAAAACATAGATGATTGACTGTGTGTACTTTACATAATTCTTTCTTGTAAAATCTATTTTTGACAATAAGAAATATGTACACAGGTAAAAAATAAATTTAAAATATACACTATTAATTATGAGTACTTCCAATTTTTAGCATCAAACTACCAATAATAGTATATTGTGCAAGTAGTGCGAGAAGTTGTTAATTGCCACCAACAGCCTAACACTAGTTTGCACATTCTACTTTTTATTACGAATGCGGGGATAATGGGACTATTTCTTGTTATTTATTTTATTTTTTATAAGATTTTTTCGTCTATTCGCGAATTTGCGTGTGCCAATGGAAATTTGGGTGCGAGAAGTTTACTTGTCGCACACAAATCGACATTTAATGGTGAAGTGGGCAATTAGTGTCTTTTCGACCACAAAAGCTAGCACAAAAATAGTTCTTTCCCCGCATGAGTAATAAAAAAATATATTATCTGATTATTTTCAAGTGGAATTTCTATTAAAGGAAGATAATAAATGTTGGATAGAGTCAAATACATGTAATTTAAATCAATGTTCCTATCTAAACAACTCACCAATATTTTCACTGAATGAACACTCTGAAACTTCTAACTCCATGCTGAGAGTACCATCTTTGATCGTCCCACATCTGTCTGTGAAGAATTGTTTTAAGATTGGCATCGGTTCTTTAGGGAAATCTAGCAGGACTCCTGTAATAATAAATATTACATACATTTAGATTATGTTGCTATTTCACATTTTTGTTTTTAACTCTATTTAAGCAATTAAAATATCAAAAAGTCTTAACATAATTAGTCCTATTATTCCCTATTATATAAGCTATCTGTCAGGAAAATTGGTACAATCTTTATAGAGATCAGTCAGAATAAACAGACAGACGAAAATATTAAAAATGTTTTTGTATAGATATTAATGAAGAATTAATGGGCCTTTAGTTTAAAAAAGTGGTTATTAAGATAAATATAAATACAGGCAATATAAATATTTAATTTCTATTTATTTATCGCTCAGGGGGGGGGGGGATGCAGGTAGATAAAATAGCAAGAGGGAATGCGTGGCGCTCTAACAATCAATTGTGACAAGTCAGTAATGTTAATAAAGTTTTGTCTTATAAAAAGACGAAAATATCCTTAAAAAATAATTTCTTCCCCTTCCTGTCTTTATTTCAACATCGCGAAGTTTCACTTCTTCCACGCACTATTAATTTTTTTATACCAAGATTCTATACATAATTTTACATACATTCTAAGTATCTAAGGGGGATTTGCATATGTTGTAACATAAAATAAACTGTACTTACCTCTAAACACTTCATCTACAGCGCCATTGCTATGAAATGATTTGAAAACACCGATCAGACACTCTTTGATATTATTAATTTTCCTCTCAGTGGTAACCAACGTTGATATCAACACTTTAAGTTTGTCTCTACTGTAAACCTACAATAATAAATATTGAATTAAACTATTTTTATGCAATTCTAATATCAAATTGCCCTAATGTGAAATATAATTATATTTTGATTTTATGACATATAATATATATTTTATATTGTAAGTTTTATTAAAATAATAAGGTTAAATCAATTTTTAATATTAATACATAATCTATTGTCACGTGACTGCAAGCGCCTATAAGAGCTTGTTACAAAACTAACTTCAATACAAGCTAAAGATTGTTATTTTCTAATATATTTTGTGGTTGCACACGTTTTGTAAGACTTAATTAATTTTGATTGTTTGTGATCAAATAAAGATGAGAAGACGTATTAATTCGACATAGTCATGAATCGGAATCAATGATTTGAATTTAGTGACGTCACATAAAACACGTGACATTGCTTTTTTTGGCGGGAAAAAATATATTTTAACCAAGAGACAATCTTCAAAATTATGGAAGTTGATGAATTTTAATTCACATAATTTTTAATAATAGTTTCTCTTGCACTTCTTTGAGTACTGTTTGTCTCTTTATTAAATTCTATTATTACCTATTTTATATATACATATAACGGTATATACTCACAATACATTTATCAATACTAGCAATGTCTTTGGGCGTTGCTTCAATGTTATCCCCGTTCCCTTCAACACTGAACACTCCGCTGCACTCACTCAACTCTGTTAAGAGTGATTTGAGTGATTTCACTCTAGCCTCCGACCTCGCCCTCTCACATCTCAGTACTAGAAGCTCGCACGATTCACCTGATATATAATTCTGGAATAATAATAAAGAACTATTATTATTTATACATTTTTAAGTAACAGCAATGATTTGTTTGTATATACATTTTAAAGTTATCAACAACACGTAAGTGCACGTAATTTTTTTTGTTTTTAAAAACCTTTTTTTGGGAAAGTTTATAAAATTGCACTTGTTAGTTTTCACTATTGTCAAGTTCATAAAGTATAAAGTTTTAATACATCCTTAACTTCTTTCGATGTCGAATAAACAGATAGTTAATGAGATTAGATGTAGATACCGAACCTAATGCTTGCACCGCCTGGATATCTAGATATCGTGCATTGCTTAGCTGACTAAATAGATATAGCGCACCAGTACACTAGCTGTCTAGATATTGTACCACTTTATAGTAAACTTCATTTTTTATGCTAAAGGAGGAAACGAGTAGCCGGCTTACTAGATGAAGGTAGTTACTGTAGCCCATGAACATCCACAACATAGTTTTGCCTATAGATATATAGTATTGCATAGAGTAAAAGATTGGAAAAGAGAAAGGGCAACCGTCTCTCTCACTCATCGGACAACACACAGCCTTTAAAGACTACTTCACGCCGATCTTCTGTGAGAGGGTGGTACTTCTCCGGTCTAGCCAGCACATGTTCGAGATGCAGTGACTTGACAATTAGGCTCTACCTTGAAAACTAGTGAATAACTAAGCTAGATACTGAAGACATCTAGATATCCAGATAATAACCAGAAAATTGTTAGCTAGTTAGATATATGACTCACATTAAGATCGTCGATAGCAGTTGCGAACCTCTCCCTTGTATGTTGAAGCTGTAACTTATTTTTCATCGCTTGCAGAGACAAAGATGCATGCAAAGCCGCGGTATGGGCCAATATCGTTTGGGGAGTTATCCTGGGACACAAATATACATTAGCAACTTAAATATCTACATTTTTTTTGGATTGATCTTAAAAACTGGTTTTAGGTATTTTTTTTTATTTTGTTTCTAGAATTTTCTTCTAAGATGAAAGTATATTCAGGAACATCTTAAATGGTCCTTGGTAGAAGTCAATGCAAAAGTGTAATAGCATAATTTGTGACTACAATTAATATTATATACTTATTGAAATATAAAACCGAATATTTATCACTCTAAAGCTTACAGATTTCCTTCAATATATTATAGATATTTATTTATTTGGATTGCCAACAAGGTATACACAAATATAAACATATAAATTATTACAATCAAGATGTTGTGTGCTACCTTAGTTACAGGCAACCACTTCATGCTTAAATAGTAACAGAGTGCATCACAAGGTTAACATTTTGGTTTTAATATATTTTAGTTTAGATACAGAGCATGAAGAACAAACAAATAGGTAAAAATCTAAGCTTAATTAGTTAAAAATTTTTGAATTGTTTTTTTAAATTCAAGATAGATTTAAAAAAACTAAACTTATCATTGTCTTAGACATTTTTAACGTTGAGAAACTTGAGTAAAAAGTATATATTATTATTCTTACTTGTTAGCAATAACATCGTGGTTTTGTTTTGTATTTTCGGACGCAAGTTTTTCCACTAACGCCGCACGCTTTTCATATAGATGCGGCCACAAGACATCGCCGCGGCATTTTACTAGTATCTTTATGTTTTCATCTGAAATTTTTAGGGAAAATAATACAGTGTTAAAAGACAAGTTATAGTATAATTTTATGATCCGGCAGGGTCGCGAGGCAAGCTCGTGATATACCGTGGCCCTGCCTAGGTGGCGTGGTTGAGGAACACCCAGGGGTTTTAGTGGGTCGAAACCCCACATAACCCGGTCAAGTCCCCGCTTGGCCGGGTATCTGTGAACAGATTTCCCCTGGGAAAACAAAAAAAAAAAAAAAAAGTATAATTTTATGATATTGCTTTGGAATATAGACCGATATTGAATTTTAAATCGAGATGTAAGTCTACGAAAAAAAAAGCCGTATATTATTCAAACAAAAAAGCCAACGTCACGCGGTGTTCCCAGGCGGTCACCCATCCAAGTACTGACTGCGCCCGACGTTGCTTAACTTCGGTGATCGGACGAGAACCGGTGTATTCAACGTGGTATGGACATTGGCAATTATAAAATTAAAAATAGGAAACAATTTATATTTTTTTAATTAATATGTACATCTTATAATATTTTACACATATCTTACAAATAGTTTAAACAAAGAATAGTAATCTTTAGGTAATTAAAAATATTAGCAGGTATTATGAAAATATCAATGTTAGATCAATATATTGCTAATATTTTGTCACATTTCCTTAAGCCTGAATGAGTGTTTCAATGCGCATTGGCATGTTTTCGATGCACTGTTTGTCACTTTCCTTTATTTTATTAATTCTTCGATCAGTTATACATTGTTGTTATCATTTCCTTGGTAATGCCTACTAATATTATAAATGTTAAAGTTACTCTGTATGTCTGTCTGTCTGTTACGTTTTCACGCCTAAACCACCGAACTAATTTTTATGAAATTTGGTACAGAGATAGAGTTGACCTTGAGAAAGAACATAGGATAGTTTTTATCCCAGACTTTTGAAAGGTTCCCTTGGAAACGCGATATAACCAAACTCCACACGGGCGAAGCTGCGGGTGGAAAGCTCGTTTCCTATAAGTTTTCGATGGGGTTGATGTTTGAAGAATTACCAGGCTATGGTAAAACCGATATATTGCGCTCTCCTCAAAATTTCGCTATACTCCTTGCTTTACGGCATGGTACTGAGTTATGCATGAACATAAATTTCTACCCCTATGGAAAACATTCCCGAAGTTTCGATAACAAGCGAGCTTCTAGAACCTTCTTGCATTGGTCTTGTCTCATTGTTTCCTAGACATTGTAGAGACGCACAACCCATTTAGCGCTTATTACAGTACATACTAAAATTTTAACAGGGTTTTATCGCGTTAAACAATGCAGTCAAAGTTGCTTTTGTCGGCTGGAAACTCAAATGTTGATCCGTCTGAGAAAAACACCTCAAAAAAAGTATTTATAACCTTTATGAAAATGTTTTAAGATCTTCTTCTACCTGGCAATTTCCCAGCTTTAGCCAGGGTCTGCCTTACATGTTGGGAATAGTTTTGGCTAATTGTTTTTACGACCGGCCGCCTGCCTGACATGAACCCTCTTTGGGAATGCATTAATCAGTGATGTCTAAATACTCTTAGAAAATACATATGACTAGGAAAAATCACATTGGGAATGCATTAATGCATGCATGCGTTTCAAGATAATATATAATAACATAAAATACTCGTAATGTATAACTTACTTGTAATCAAAAATTATTTCACGAAATCACAAAATTTTTTAAAATATTAAGTTACGTATTTCACTTTTACACTTATGAAGGACTGTGTGTCTCAACCGATAATAAAAATATACCTACATATTTACAAAATAAACGGATCTCATAATACTTGAAATTTGCTTTCAAATTAATTTGTAGAGGTGCTGTGAATATAAAAATACTTTCCAGGACCACTTTACACAACTTAAAATAGCAGTCAAATCCGCCTTATATAAAAATATGATATATAATGTGACTATCCCTAATTATTTTGCAACCTGTATATACAAACACCATATAAAATATAATTATATTCTCCATATACATCAAATTATTTGTTGCCACATTAGTCAACAATAATGTTATTTTAATGATAAGCAATATATAAGATGTAAAAACCTCTTTCAGCATTATCATGTTCCTGGGACACCAATGATGAACTGGCCATTGCATTAGACAGTGGAAACTGATGGGTTACTGCTGAAGAAAGACATTTATCCAATTTATCCTGAAAAATATATAAATATACATCATAAAAGAATATTAAATACTTATAAGTACATTAATTTTATCTACAGTAATAAATAGAAAAAAAGATTTTAATTTCAAGAACAGCTGTACCGATTTTGCTGAAAATTTCACTTACAAGTAGGTAATGTAACTAGGAGCAATTTTGACCACTTTTTTATCACTTTGAGAGGTCTAAGTTCTTAATCTACAATATTTGTCACACTATTACTCAATCGATTAAACAAGTTCATGTTCAAGTCTTGAGGTAGTTCCCTTATAATTAACTCGTTACCTGATAAAGGGGTTCTTAAGAAATCTAATAAAAAGGCTCAAAGGCTTAAACATGCAGGCAAAGCAATAGGTCCAAGCTGGTTAAATAGACAATAAGCCCATACTGACAGACAAAATAAAGAAAGTTTATCAAAAGTGATAAAATATAGACCTCATACTTATAATAATGAATTAAGTATATAGTTAATGCATTCCCAAAAGAGGGTTGATGTCAGGCAGGCGGCCGGTCGTAATTTTTTTTTAACCAGAACTATTCACAATATGTAAGGCAGACCCTGGCTAAAAGCTGAGAAATTGCCAGGTAGAAGAAGAAGTTAATTACCTCAACATCATTATCGTCGACATAACTACACAATGAATCCGATATACTCTTAGTTTCATCCAGATTTGTCTTCTTATTGGTCAGATCGTTTGAAACCTGTTGCAGTAACCAGTTACGTCTTTGGAGATCCTTGATCTGCTGCTGTATGTAATTACGTTGATTAACTGGAATTTATTAATAATTATTTAATATAAGATCCATTTGAAGGTTTATTTGCTTTGGAAATTTTTAATAATTTGGTTCTGTGAAACTGTAACATTGTATATTGTCAGGAATAGAGCAAATCCGCATAACTGCAGTTGGATTATTCCGGATATCTACATTGGAAGCGGATTATCTGAAGAAAGTTTAAGCGGAAATATTCTCTAAATTAATAACTTTTAAGGTAATTTTTTCACAATTAGTAATTAATCACTAATTCATTATCAAATGGAAGTTAAGTTGATCTGCATACTCCCCGACAATATGTAAACTATTTTAAGCATAATGTATACAAATAGTCAAATTTCTTAAATGGAAGGTTTTTCATATATTCATATTCTTTATAAAAAAGTTTTATTGAGTAAATACTCAGTTTAATATTGTAATGGAAAATATAAAATGAGAAATTCATTGACACAACAGGATTTGAACCTTAACCCCTGCATAATGCAGGTTCCTGAAGATGCAGATAAATCTAACTTGTTTCAAAGAATGCTTATTCTATTTTCAGTTAAAATTCACCTCATGAGACATTCTTTTATACAAAATGATAGCTTGGCATAAAAATAATACATTTAAATTAAAAATTAAATTAACTCAAACTTATTAACATATTGATTTAAAAAATTTATGTTAACACAAGTTATAATTTGACTATGTTAAAAAGATATACTTAGGTGCAGATTTGAAATAGTAACTGGATTGATTAAAACAAAATAAAATGGTTTTTTACATGTTCTCTTACTTTTGCACATAATTTTGTTCTGAAGCTCCTTTTGTACTTTTATTTTTTGTGCTATTCTATTTTCTGCTTCGTCAACTTGCTGTTTAATATCCCTTTGCTGTCGCCATACTTTTAGTTCCTCTGGCACAATTATATTTGATCCATGCTGAAGAACAGAATGTATCAAAAATGAATTAAATAACAATATTATAGTTAATTGTAGAAAATTTGAGTCATTATAAACTATTGTGATCCTCTTAATGTTTTGGTAATGGGGTCACAAACCTTATTAAATAAATACTTCTCACGACACATTTTGATATCATCACAAAAGACTTGCAACCTTTTCTGTCGTATTATATCTTTAGCCTCCAGGTGTTCCATTAGACTTCGCCATACCATGTAGTACTGGCCTCTGCACATTCTAAATTTAAAAATATTTTTTTAATATAACTACTGTATGTACATTTTGTATTATTATTATTTATTTATATTGTTGATATTCCTTACTGAGACATCTTTTCGATAGAAGGTACTTTTTCTGCGGGACAACCCATACCGAGAAGCCATTCCGAAAATTTTGCTGGCACTTTATCACAACTAAGTTTATCATTCATTTTGTATAAAGCTTTAATCCTTAAATTATTAATATTAAACACATAAACTTTGGATCAAGTTTGACATATTTAAACTTTGAAAGTCTAACGGCCGTTCAACTTGACATCAGTGGAGTATTCGAATTAGTCCAAATAAAATTATTTATATAGTTCAGGTGTCGAATATCAATTCGATGTATGTACTAATATTTAAATTTAAAACATAACGTCTACGGAAAAAAATTGTGACACAAGTGATCTAATTTAGAATAATAAAAAAAATTGAAATTATCAATTACTCTAAGTCCATCGTAATTTTCAAATTAAAAAACAATGTTGATTTATATTAGGGGAATAATAAACAGCTTAACATACATTACGATGTTTTCGAAACAAAAATATTTTAAATTTTTAAATTGACAGAACTGTATAATATATAACAATTAACAGAGTATAAACTGTTAGAGATAGTCATATGACAGCAATATGTTTTGTTGTCAAATAATAATAATTCATGTTTTTTTGCTACATGAGTAAATAATACATCTCTAATATAAAGGAAATACTAAAAATGTTAGGTAATATAAAAGAGTTTATTTCTGTCGTCCAAGATGGATTAGCTTCAAACAATAACTTACGGCAAACTTTACAAGAAGTTCAAAAGGTTAAAAATATATTTAGAGATAAACAAAAAGTAGCTAGTGGAACAAGTGATAGCAAAGTGAATTACGGAGCTGGTAGTGTCTTATTAGAGAAATATCAAACAGAATGGGCCGAGCTACATGAAAATGCCGATAAAAACGCGAAAGCAGCGGACGCTGTTGATAAAATTATCATAGAATTACATGAAACAACAAATAGTAAATTGCAAAATGCCACTGAACTGGCACAAAATTTAGCCTTACTACCAAGTTTAACGGTTTCAGTAGCACAATGTGTAGATAGCCTGAAAAATATACAAACACTCTTGAGAGATGTTGAAAACCAACTCGTTGAGTTTGAAGATATTGTGGAAAGGAGTAATATGGAAAAATGGAAACTCGACCATCACTACCATTTGACTTTGTATAAAGAAAAGAAAATGGGTATGTTTATTTTTGAATCTTGTCTTTTGGAAACTTTTTTCAATTAATTACATGAAAGTTTATTGTTTTTATTTTAAGCTGGTTTGGAAGAAATAAGAAATCAACTGGCCAGAGAGAACTTAGAACAGAGTAGTGAAAAAGAAAAGCAACAGTTGGCAGAATTGCAAGCTAAGCATGAACATAGTGCTGTCGCTTTCCAAGTTGACATGGCAAAGTACTTAATAACTGGAAATATACCAAATGGTAATATAATAATAATTATCCATTAAGATTTGCTACATGTGTGTTTTTATGTTATTTGTGTTTATTTGATTTGCCTTCACTTACAAGTTGAATAATATATATATTTTTTATTTTCAGCACCCAAACCGAAACCAAAAATTACACTTGAAGAAATTCAATTAGATGATGATCAAACGGATCTTGAGAAATTTCTAGAAAGCTGATTTGTTTTCACTCGATGTATGAACACTTAACATTGTTTGGATGTGATACTTGAGCTTTTTTAATCTATAAGATTTTATATAGTCTGTTAATATTTTCTCCTTCACTATTTTAAACCCTGTTTGATCACACTTAATATTAACTTATTTTGTTATTGATGGACTGATTTTAAAGTTGCTATGTTTATATATACAAGTTTATATATTATTTTTGTTCTTTGTTATCGTAATTAAGTGAATCACTTAAATAATAGCTTATTTATTAATAAAATAATAATTTTATTGTCATTTGACAAAACACCTAAAGAATTTTAAACTTTGTAATGCTATTTTTTTTAACTGAAATTATTTTTCTTAATAATAAATTCAAAAATACAAAAATATATATACAAAGTTTTTATGACTAGTAAAACAGCACAGAATAGCTATGGACACGGCCACTACATAGTTCGCTACGCGTTTGCGAGAATCTCAATCAAAATTGTTATATAAAATAAATCATACCAAAAGTTTTTGACTTGCCCAAAAGACGGGAATCTGATAACTTAGTGGTACGACATGTAAAGCATCGAAATTGTTGATGGCGGTTTAAGTTAGTTAGTTTTTCTCATGATAGGACGCAAGTCACCTCCCCCGTGAGCCGACATTTTCAGTTTGCCAGTGACGTGACTTTTTATACATGGTCCAGCATCTTTGAGAGATCCTGATGTATCTTCGATATCTTCGTCAGATGAGAAGTCTGACACGCATAGTGACAAGTGTCTTTTCTTCGGTGGCATCACATGTAAGGTCCATCTCATCGACTTATGGTTTCCCTTCACGTTGTTCTCCCTCGAATCATAATCCGTGTCTGATGCTGGTCTCTGGCACTCAATGTTCTTAACGTTCCTCGACTTGCTCGATCTATGTGTGAGCTCCTTTTTTTCCCCCCTCGGGGGGATGTATAAGTTTTTTAAATTTATATCACTGTTTGTTTGCCCTTTCGCGTTAAGGTCCGGGAAGTTCTGTGAGTATATTACGACGCTGTCGACGGAGTTTTCTTTATGAAATTTTGCTGTGTCCTTTTTATTTTTTGTGTCATTCTCTTGAGCAGCGCTGGGTTTCTTCTCATTGGAGTTACTACTGCTGCAGCTAGTGTTACTATTGCTGGTGCTGTATTGTTCAACCGCCTCCTTCTCGAGTTCCCGAAACTTGGTATCTATGCTTTCGTCGGACGCTTTGTATTGTTCTAAGGCTTCCTTTTCGAGTTCTTCGAATTTGCTATCAACAACCGGGGCTCGGATTCTCGTTGGCAGAACAATTTTAGGGTTCAGTTTAATCAGACCTGGAGTTCCTAATTTCTGCGTCAGTCTTATACATCCTACGTTTAAGTTTATCGGTGGTGGAGCACTCATACTGAGCACAGTACTATAAAGTCGTTTCTTCCTTATCCCCGTCTCGATGGCCGCAGCACTGGTAGACGGCAGTTCATCATCGACGACTTTTTCCTTTTGATTTTGCGTTTCCGTTTCCTGCTGTTCTTCCAATGGAGTCTGATTGCCGTTACTTTCTTCCGAATCTTCTTTTTTGGTCTCGCTCTCGGTGTTTGCCGCTGTTAGTTTGGGAGTGTTGTTCTGGACGTTTATCAGGTTCAGTTTTCGATTGAGTTTCGGCGAAGGGTTATCACGCGGCCACCAGATTCCATATCGTCTGTCCGTGTATCGCAATGGCCTCTGACCGGTCGGCGCGTATCTGCTGACGTTTGTCCCTCTGTAAGGTGGACACCGAGAGGCGTTGGCTCTCATTACGGCTTGAACACTCGCAGACAAACGACCCATCGCCCGCTGACATTCCGTCAGCTGAGGCGGTCGAGGGGATTCGAACTGAAACTGAAAATATACAATGTTAAAACAACAGCATAGATACTACGATAAAGTTTAGCTATTAGGTTTTGAAAAAACTTTTTTTCTAGCAATAACACAATGTTAACAGGGAACATAATTACAAACATAACAATATTTTGCTGAAGTGAACATGGCGCGATTTCCAGGGGCGTCCACACTAAGCGAGCTTGTGTCGTGGATGCCTTATTTACGATTAACTATAACAAGTTTCACCTACGGTAGATGGCGTGTTCTTTATAAAGATGTTACAAATGGCTCAAAAGTATTAGGTAGGTAAAAAGTAGGTTTTATACTAGGTTATGCTCCCCATTTTGTGTGATGCGTTAAATGAAGTACAATCTAGTCGTTATTTTGAATACAGCATTTACCAAAGCTGCTATTAAATATTTTATCCGTTACGGACTTCGACTAAGTAGCAGAAATCATACGTGTAAATATTTATTATATTATACATGGTTCTTTGAAAACTGTAATAATACATTGATTGTGGTCTATATAAATTATTAACTAAATACAAATGGAATATTCCTTGCACGATCTTCAAAATGTGTAAGAGTCATACACTGTAATATTCTGTTGGATTTTTACTACTCCTGGAAATTGCATACCTTTTGCAGAAAAATCTACTACAAGCTACATAACCAGAGCCATTTCGACATGATTTATAGTCAGGACTTAAAATCCCTGATGTTTCTATCATGGTGATGTGATATACACAAGGGCCGTCGTGGAACACCCTTGGATTTTAGTGGGTAGCTGAAACGAGTCCCACATACCCCGCTGTCTTCGAAAACGGCGGGGATGCGTGAATGCATTTTTCCCAAGGATTAAAAAAAAATGGTGAAGTGATATAAAGGTAGACAATCGCTGGACACCTTAAATGAGGGGTCGCAGAATAGCGCAGGTTTGTCGAGGCAGTAAGGCGGCGGTGGGGCTGGCACCCGGCGTGGAGGGCGACGTCTCGCGCGCATCTTGCGGGGAGCGGGCGGAGGGCTGGGCGCCCACACAGACCGGGCTGCCGCCACGCGCGCCGCCAGCGACGCCACGTCTGGCGGGCCCCAGCGCTCGCTAGCTGCCGATCGGTGACCGTTAGTTTGTCTTTGATAACCGATACTGCTGCTTCCACATTCATACGACTAGTCCTACTAATATTATAATTGGGAAAGTTTGTGAGTGTGTGAATGTTTGTTACTTCTTCACGCTCAAACGACTGAACCGATTTTGATAAAATTTTGTATACAGGAAGCTGACGTCCAGGAATAGCACATAGGCTACTTTACATCCCGGAAATCCTGGAAAATCCGCGAGTAACACAACGGGGCGCAGCTAGTATATAATAAAATTACACATCTATTTATACTGGTGAATACAACTGTGTGTTATGTTCATATATGGATGTGGCAGAATGATAACTAATATCAAAGTTAAACGCACAAATCTTCGTCCGGGAGCATCTTGTACTGTCGTCGGCGGCGAGGGACCGCGCTCCTATCCGGATCCTCGACTAGTTTTCGGAACCAATAATCAACCTTCAGTGGAAAAAACATTCTTATATATTAAACCCAGATAAACCATGAAGGTTTTCATGGATTTTATTATTAGTCTATGCTCGAGGTCATCATCACAAAAGGATAACAGATAATTTTGATGGAATTTAGCTGTCTCCACAAAAAAAATACTGCTTGTATGGGTATAATTACTACTAGGTTAGGGTGATTCTGTTTAGAAATTATTAGCCGTTCTTTGAATATTCCTAGTTATACCTCAGGTAACATCCAGCATTCTGTAAGATCTGAATTTTCTCTTCCTTGTCCGTTATAGCCGCGTGCATTGGCTTTCTCATTTGCACACGTGTACAAATTTTCCCTGAAATGTTGGTAGTTTTGAGAGCTTGTTTCAAATTCAAGTAATATAAATCCTGTTTCTAGCAACCCTGGTTAAAAAAAATAGTACAATAACGTTAAATTGAACCTGGTATCGTCGTAATAAAAGTTTCCATAAAATTGCGCCAATCTAGATTCTGGTATGACGTCCTTCACGCTCCGCCGACCACAGCAGCTTCCATTTTCTTGATTTGCGATTTTATCTACCACACAAAGCTAGTTACATACTTGTTTCATTACGAAATCCTCTTATATGCTAAACTAACCTGATTCACAACTATTTGATACGCACTGCGTATCAGCCGTTTCTTGGAGAACTTGAGACACTCGGCAATGTTGTGCCCAAAGGCGCTGAAACACAATATATTTATAGAAATCTATATAACGTAGAAGCCCAAAAAAATATATAAATAATACCTGATTGGCTACGATAAAATCATCAGGTGGTTCTGTTGCCCAAGTAATATCCGCACAAAGGGCTATATGTGCCCACGCAGACGAATAGCGATCCACTTCGAAGCTCATTCAATGTGACATTTCACACATACAATTAATTATCTTTAGAATAATAAACGAACTATATTATTGTCACTAAATTTTAATAGAATAACTAAATGTAAAACTGATAATAAAAATGACGACAATTTGAAAGACATTGGTGGTTAAATCTACAATAACAAAATTTTCCTCTTTTTTGATGGATATATGATATACATTTTTTTCTTTTTAATTTAAATTGCTTTTCGAATTACCTCGTAAAATAATGTCTTTGTCATCTGGTTGGCTTGGTGGTTGTCTTTAGTGTCATAATTGTAAGATAAATGTTTTCTTTTATATTATTTGACTCGGATCCTTGAAGAAAGATAAAACTAAGTAATTTTGTTGAGCCATTACTTCATTTCAGTTTAACTCTAAAAGCCATAATCGATATTATTTTAAGCAAGTTTAAATATGGGCGGGAATATTTATGAGCTATATGGCAACATTGTTGTTATAATTTTTGTTGCTTGCATTCTCAAACTCGGCTATCTCAGCCCTCGGGTTTCGTCACATCACTCGTCAGTCAGATTTGCGCAGGTGGCGTGATTGGACGTGTTGACGCATGCGCTCGATCAATTAACCGGATAAATGAACACTGACAGATCATTTAATTTTATTTTTATTGTGCAAATAATAATAAAAAATTATCAAACTGTATTAATTTAGAAAAGTGTCCGCTGCATCTTAAATATCGAACGTGTGTCAGAAGTTCAGTGTTTTGACGAATAAAAAAAAATCGATTAGTGCTTCTCTAGTTGCTTTTATGTATATGATTTGTATTATTTCATTATAATTTGTCGACAAGTGATACCATCCTAACTGTTAGTGTCGTGGAAACAGGTTTTTGGAACGGTAGTGTTTTTTGTACATTTCATTGTTTATGTGAAACCACAGTATAGTTCGCTATAGTTTGAATCTCGTTTAGAACCATTGGATGCTGTGATCTGTTGCACCTACGTTACTTCATCTTTGAATGGTAAGTGGCTTACAGCTAGTTCTAAGCTATGTACACTAGTCTTAATAGGTATTATGCAAGTAACATAACGGTCGGCGACGGTAACTCTTACAGTAAAATTGTTAATCAGTTCACAAACAAGTAATATTGTTATTATGTAACATTAATATTTATAAACAAATAAATTTACCATAGTCTATTAACTAATGCGTTATTTATTATATCTGGGTTATTAGGTAATAACTTAATAACCGATAATTCATAACTTATTTGCATACAAAAGGATGAATGGAATAATTTCCAAACGTAATTATTAATGCTAAAAATTATTTGTTTGTATTTTTTAATTAATTATTTTGTCTCAACAATAATTAAGTAGGACTATAATTAAAGTGTGCTGATTATAAAGGAGACGGCTATTTATTGTTTTTACTTTTGTCATTTCTATTACTTATAAATTAAACAGTAGTTATAATATATTTAATATATATATTATGTCTTATATTTTCATTTGAAATTATCATTCTTTATTCTTCATAGTAAGCTAACTAAACGTTGCTTATTTCGAAACCCACGCGAAACAACTCTTAGAGATTCTGTCGAAAATATTTGTCAATACAAAAATTATACATCATTATTATGAAATTGGCTGTAAAATAACAAGTTGGTTATATTTTGAAAATATTAACAGATTTAAAACATAAAAAACTGCTATTGACACAATAAAGTATACATTATTTCTCCTCACAAGTAAAGCTTGAATAATTCGATTATTTCAAGTTTTTTACCGCCTTATTGACATCAGATGATTCTTAAGTACGTACATATAAAAGAGCGATTTTTTTTCTTTTTCTTTTACGTCTATAATATTTCCCGGTCCGAGATCTGAATGTAATATAACCTTGGCCTAATTCAACCGACGCCACTGTAAAGATAACCTCTTCAGTCGTTTCTTGGAAACAAAGAGGTTGTATATTTGGAGTCGTTTGTAGATTTAATAATAATTATATTAACGATTGCAAAGAATTTTATTTGAATAATGACATACTATTTATCAATATTCTTGTGATATATTTTATTTCACTTTATATCCTTTTTGGTGTGCTCTGTCTATAGTATTGATTATGTCAGAATTAATGAAGCGTATGAATGTTTGTGTCATTCCATTTACGAAATGTATTGTTGTTATTTTTAACATGTCAATTCAAACGACAACAAATTCCTATACATCCGTAATTTTAAAAAAGGGTTACTGTATTACAAGTATTCGAAATTTAAAATAAAAAAATATGGAAACTGGCAGCATATAGTTAAATTTACTTATTATATATTATACTAGGGATGTATTCTATCAGCAGTTCTGATGACGCTGTCAAAGCTGCAATGCTAACAGCAGTATAGATAACAGAAAAAAATTACCGGCGAACTGGGCTTTCCCATATCATTTTAAAATTGTTACTGATATTGACGTAAATGTATTGGAAGAAATTACTTTTGTCTTATTATATTTCTTTGTGTTTAAATTGAAAAGCTATTGTTTTAACAAAGCATAACGTATGTCTCTTATTTCTATGTATTGGGTTTATGGACATTTTTTTCGCATCACTTTATCAATTTTTATATAGTCTGTAATCGTATTTAATACAAAGGTCTTTATAAATTTTAGCGAAGATGAGAAATATTTTTAAAATATCCAAAGTCCTCTTACAGTGACCTACTTTAGGATGCGTGCTATTTCGCCAGAGACCTTGACCTGGAAACCTTCCAGCATTTCCCGCCTTCTGCCACCGAAATCACTATCGCTGGTCGCCATTTTGTTTATTCGAAAGTACCAATATTAAAATCATAGTCATCGTGTTCATCACGTTCAGGAATTGAAAAGCAATTTCTTTGTGAAAGTAAATGTCTTACAATGAATATGATTTAAGAGAGCAAATGTATCATTATTAGATGGTTTGGATTTTAAAACTGCTGTATAATTTGCTTATAGAAATATTATTTTAATGGGTAGGACTTAAGATCTATATCTGGCTAGCTTTTGTCTTATAAAACAATAATTAGAGATTCTAATATGTATGGATTAATAAAAAATAATTATTTTGTATATGATTGAATAAGCACAAAATGGAAAAAGCATATTTATTATCATATGTATTGATATAAATTTACATAAGTTTGTATATAAAGTAAGTAAAAGTCGATGTTAGTACTTTAAGACGAGCCTATTAGTAAAATTTCTCATAGAAGGAAGCATTGCTAATTAAGTTACAAATTTAAAACCTACTTAATACGAAATTCTTTACATTCCTTAAAGCAAAACTTATTTAATTATTGAATAATAATTTTCATTATGATTACATAAAGACTTCTTTTGGTAGACTTTCACTCGTAATATTAAATTTATTTAAAGTAATAAAATTATAACGTAATATCACAATATAATTGACGTAAGTAATAAATTTTGTGATGTTGGTAATATGATACAATATATGAGAATGGATATGTTTAGAAAATATAATTATCATACAGATAAAATAATATTGTATTGTTGATGAAATGAAATACTTAGTGAAATAACAAAATGGCGGCGGCGTCAAACAAATGAAATGACAGTTATTTAATGGCGGAAATGTGTGTAATAAGTAATTTGATATTGTATGCGTTTGTAATTTTAAATTTTAATATGTGCTTGTATTAATGTAGTCGAGGAAGTGTGTTTTTAGTTACCGATTTTATCGTTTTATTCTTTACGTTGAACATCGATAGAGTAAGTTTTTGTTTGTTTTAAAATCTCGACGCGCGTGACTCATTGGTGCTTTAGTAGTTGAAAGACGCTTTCGGACAACATGTAAGTACCTACTTATATTTCTTTGTATAAGATTTTCACTCACACAATATACTTTATTCATGTCTCATTTTTGTGCGCGTTGGTTTTTTTACTTGTTTAGTATGTTATTATTATCTGAAAATAATTATAGATTTGATAATTCGTTTATATTTCGCGTTTTCATGAGTTTTGATACGAGTTTTATATTTGTTGGAGTCGAAAATTCTTCTCAAATTAAATGTCAACTATTAGACTTGAACGAATATTAATTAAATATATTTTTATTGTAATTCAGTCATCCTAAATAAACGGAAAGACAAATAAACAAAACATTATAATATAAATTTTAAACTACGTAACCGAGACTTCGTCCGCACTTACGTTACGATACTCAGTTACGTGGTAAATAAACACAAGGACTCAATACAAACAAATGTGTTTCGAAATCACAAACATACTTAAATTATTTAAATGAAACTAATATTTTTCGGATATACTACGATATTTTTATTATTGTAAAAAACTAAATACTCCCGAAGTTTCGGCTACTTTTCAGCAACCGCGATCACGGGCAGAGGAGATGTATTAAAAAAACTCGCAAAAGTCTTAGATCTCATTAATATTATACTAGTATATACATAGATTTAAATGGATTTATATATTAATTCGTATTCGCCCTTCTAAATGTATGTACACACGTGCCAAAATATCAGTTAATCCCATCCGTTATTTTAATGTTTGTTCTAGAACATTCCATTCAAAAATCTGTTTTAAAGAAACGTTTCCCCTTTTCTTATATCAGTTTTGACCAAAGAGGTCCTATAGTCTATACATAGAAAATTTTTACATAATAGATTACGGATGCACATAACCGAGCATCGTATAAAAGCTACACATAAAAAAGACATATCTTTGACCCAGTTGTTCGAGCTGCCTTCAGTTCTCAACTTGCTCGTTTTCATGTTATATGGGCTGTAAACATTATTTATTTCACTGGCAGCATGTAATTAACTTCCGTCGTTAATTTAAATAGGCCGGTGTTGCCTTTGACATTAAAAACGTATGTAGTGTTCTTGTATTATATTTATGAATATGTGTACAGGTCAGTGGTGGCCTAGTGGTTAAAGGGTCCGCCTCTCATTGCCGAGGGCGCGGGTTCAAACCTGGCAAGTACCAATGTGATTTTTCGGAGTCATATGTACT